GTCTCTCAGCTAGATAGTTTTGGATAGCTACGTCCCACATGACTAAATCCTTTCAGTAGAGGATTGGCGACGCTAACGTCGCGTTACCTTGTTTTTTAAAATAAAAATGTGACACCCCTATTATTTATAAGACAGCGGAATGACAAAAGAAGATAATGTTTAGTGGTGGAGAAAAGACGCCCGTTGTGTTGAATAGGCGACACAAGTATGTGTATATATATATAATCGTATTGCAACATTTGCGTCACTTTCACCTATATTTATTAAATGCCTGACTATAAAGCAAAATTCAATCGATCATGATTAAATAAATTGGATAGTGATGGAAATTCAGTAAAAACGTGGCTGAAACAAGGCTCATCGGAAACAACATTTATTTGTACAATATGCCGTACTAGTGATCTAGACTGTTCTAGCAAAAGCTGAAAAGCTGTTGAACAGCAAATGCAAAATAAAAAACTCAAAAATTTAAATGCTCTGAAGAATAATTCAAAACTTACCTTTTCAATATCGGTAACAACATCTTCCACGTCGTCTACACATACTATTCAAGTAGTTGATTCTAATAAACCTTTGCTATTCGATGATCAAGTATCGCAAACTGAAATTTTATGACGCTCAAGTCTGTTCAAAATGCATCTTTCTAAGTCAACATTAAATAGAATGTCGACTGCATGTCATTTTTGCTTCAGCACGAATATTTCTTGTAGGATCGAAGGCTGAAAAAAGACTCCTCTTTTTTCATTCAAAATCCTCTTTTTTTCTAAAATGCTTGGTGGGATGCCAGTTAACTATTAGATTTTGTTTCGGATTATAGTACTAAAATATGCGGAATTCATTCTACGCAATTAACATAATGCATTCCATGTAACATAACCCTTTGAAGAAGGAATTGATTTATAAAACAAAATCTGCAAGGAGTTTTGAAGTGTGTAGAGTAGAAATTTGCATATTGAGGAGTGTGAGTGAGAAAGTTGAAACTAATGAACTGTACCCTTCTCATATGCAATTCGTAATCCTCTAAGTCACCAACTTGCAGTGCTTATTACCCTAAAATTTGAATTTAGGATTACCAGAACCTTCTTTCGGTACTAGAACGGTACTATTTTTAAACAGCCTCCGTAATAAACACTTTAAAGCGAAAAGTTTCATTCAAGTATTCCATGTACTAGAGGCTGTGAGGGTGGGTGTGTTTTTTGAGCTAATCGTTACGCGTTTCGACCTTGCTTAAGGGTATCATCAGACGACTTTGATTTCTTAGTCAGTAGCTCAGTTGGTGGGTTGAATGATTCAAAATTGAATAAAAACAAATTTATGAATTAGATTTTTCATAGATGTCCACGACGAAAGTTTCGGATAGTAACGATTATCGGTAAAGGACGACATTTTTCCTTAGGAAGAATGATATTTATTTATCTTGTGAAATGTCTTTCTGATTGGATGCTGCTCATAGCTACCCGTATGTCATCGATTAATGGTTATAATTGTTCGTCATAGCGATATTATCTCGTTATTGATGTAGAAATGTGTTTTATCATATGATTTTAGGAAAATATTTATTAATGACTGTTTATAGTTACGTCTTCTACATAGGCTGTTTTTGTAATAGTTAATTCTATGATGGTATCGTATATCTTCGTTCCAGTATATTTTAAAATCTACTGTTACATTGCATAGTTCTTTTCTCTATAGAGAGATGTTTATTTTTTATTTAAAATACCACAGATTCGTATGAACTATTATTTTAATGATGAGAATTTTCTAGTTTCATCGAATGATTCATATGAAGAACATTTAGATCAATGAAAATGGTTCAAATCGAAGTTTTATTCAATGACCAAATTAAAATATTATCTAACTATTAACTTGTATTATTTTTTCAGCGTTTCTCAGTATTAATTATATTTTTATATTTTCAATTATGAAGTTTAATTTATTCTAAATTAGAAAATCATAGATTCAAATGTTCTTCTATATCACAGTTATTACTACACAAAATCGATCGTTCCGTGTTTCGCCCTATTTAATATGGAACAACACTCTAAAAGAAATAGGTATTCTACCGAACTTTTAAAGGATCTTCTGCCGGGTGGAGTATTGGTGTGTACCCACATTTAATGACTATAAACCAATACTTTATCATTTTATTCGTTCCTAAATATAACCATGTTGTTGCTGCTTTTACTCGTCAATTTGACTAGTGCTGAACTGATCATTATTGTACCTACAGTGTTAACTTTATTTGCATGTCCTCGACTGATATTAGTCTTTATATTTGTCTGTACGAAACATAGAAAAATAGAGTTTGAGAAAAATATTTCTATTAAGATATTATATTTATGAGTGATTTGTTTTTGTTTCTATTCGAGCTTCCAGAGCATATGTGTATCATTAAATAAATGTTTGACGTTCAAACCAGAGTATACAACTCTACAAATTATTCGTATCATCTTACATAAACATCGTCACTTTTTTATACCACTTTTCGCATCAATAATCTGCTCAACTCCAATGGTTGTCATAAATGAAATAATGACTTGTGCGAAAGCATCAAAATTAAAATCAGCACCCTATATATTTTTATTAGGGTATATGTTTACATCTCTGCCAATATCATTATCATTTTTCACTTTTATTTATCCAGCTAATGCTTACATGACAGCTTTTTGGAGGGAATAATTTGTTGGACGATGCTTTTCGAAAATGCAAACGAAAACAGTCTACAAAGGAAAACAATTGAAAACACTCTCCGCTAGCACCAACCTGAACGTCACACCAGTCTCAACTAGAAGCTACCAACTTTTAACATGAAACTATAGTGATCAAATTATGATTAGTCTTACCTTTTTTGGTTACCGGCTTTATTTCCATGATTTTTGAAATAATAAAAACTTGTCTAGATCAAAATGAAAGACAGATGACTTTCATATAAAAACTCAAGCACAGAATCAAAATTTTGAATAATTTCTAAGAGGGCGCTTCCATCGAGTTTACAGCACTTTCCTGAAAGAGGTCTTGAATTTTTATTTTCAATTTCTTGAACGAGTGTATCTTGAGGGTGTGGGTGTGATTATCAGTTACAGAAATACCCAAATCGACACTCGAACCTACACCCACACTCTCATCTTGGCTTTACCTGAACGAGTAAGTTATCATTGAGACCTACTCTAAATAAAAGCCTCGAAAATATCCAAAAATCGTTGATAAGCTCATATGGCTGCGTAGCGACAAAATGTTGTCCAAAGATACTTTGAGAAGATGTTTCTTCGCCTATATATTCCCCCTTTCTCTTCACAACACATCAGAGGCACTGAGGATCTTTTGACTCTCACTCGAGAAGACCTTCTTGATAACTACGTCAAACGCTGTATCGCGTAAAGATTTAAAAAGAGGTGCGCTCTTCGGATTTAGGTTCTTCCTTATTTTTGAAAATGTATTCGTTTGGGATAATCTCCACAAGCAAGCTAAAGATGATGTTAGCCATCCATTTATGTTGAAACCGGGTTGAACGTTAAAAAACTAAAACACCGCTCCCTTCACCTAGACTAGTTTGATTTCAACGAGCAAAGTGATAGTAGAAATATAGGAAAGAAGTAACACGAAATCTTAGCTCCTTAGCAGTCGCTTAACCTTCTATCTAGTTACCGTTTTCACTTGCTTCATTGTATCTTTATCTTTGATTGCTTTCTATCTATCCTCGCCATTTCATCTTCCTTTGTTGTTGTAAGCACTTCCGAGTGTTACAATAAAATGGGCATAAAGCAAAATCCCCACATTTAAATACTTTCAAAAACCAAATGCAAGTCACTGGAAATTTAAAATAATAAATCACTAATTCATATATAGTAAATAGAAACTTGGGATATTTTTTCCTTGTGTGTTCTCTGAAAAAGCCTTTCAGCGCAGCCTCGTTGGAGCTAAAATTTGGAACTCACATATTTCGGTCAGTTAAATACTGATCAAATAGAATTTTTATTTTTTCAGTGTAGTGAGATCATATTTTGTTTGAACATAAGATAATAAAACTTTTTTAACATTTGAAATTTATTGGATCTATCAATAGGAAATATTACTAGAGAGAACGTATAGAAAACTTTCTGTTTAGAATATGTCAGTATGCTGAAGTGTTTAGTGGTTTCATTGAGAAATATTGTGAATGATAATAGTTTAAACAGTATTTAGGATATAGTTATCAATATTGTTGAAAAATTTATGTTTTTTCGGTTTACTAGATGAGAAATTGATACATGTTTTCATAAACGAAAATTTGATAAAAGCTTCCCAGTGGATGGAAAAGTTGCGAATTGTAAATATACTAAACTGGATTCAAGCTCTTGAATAAGGTATTTGTGTGAGAAAAAAAAGATTAAAATCTTCATCTGCTTATTGTAAGTGGTAGAAGTAACTAGTGTAATAGTAGCATAAACTAGTTGCTAGCTTCTGTATCGTAGCATACACTCGTTGCTAACGTCTGTAATAATAAAAATATATAATACTGTCGTAACTATGGGCTATAATAATAAAAACGACAGATTTTGATGATTAATTAGAGACTAAATCCTAATTATAATGATTTCTAATTAGTGAAACTAGATTTTGATTAGTGATGCAAGTAGTGGTGAACATAGGCAATCGACCTATACCAAAAACGTTTCTAATTAGTGCATCTAAGTGTTAGTTTTTTTATATTTTATGTCTGTAATGGGGAAGGGGGCGGGGTACATGGAAGCCGCAAAAACCTAACAATTCAACTTACACTCACTATTTTCTTCGAAAATATATGTGAGTTCCACAAAAGGATCTGCAATGAAATAACGATGAATAATGTTTCATGTTATCACGATTCTTTTTTTTTACGTGTTTTCTTTGTTGTCATCAAGGTTATTTCTTCTCGTGAATAATGATGAAAGAAACGAAAACGACTCGTTACATTATACAGAAGAATAAAAACAAAAAACAAAACATATCACTCACACAATCGATTATTATTGTAATGCAATATGAATTTATCAAAATTAGAAAAATTACCTGATGAAATTTTACTTGAAATTTGTGTTTATTTAAAGCCCTATGATATTATAAATAGTTTTGGACAACTAAATAGTCGTTTAGAACGAACTATAAGTCAATATCGACATGATGCAGATCTACATCATTTAACTTTTAGTCAATTCTATCGATGGTCTAATCATCTTTTATCTTATACAGCCACATCTATTGTAAATTTAGTTGTAAGCAATTGGAATTCTCCTGGACAAATCTATCTTTTTAATCAACTGGCAAAAGATTATGATTCTCTTCATGATTTATTTCCAAATATAAATCAACTTCGATTAATTGATTTTACTAATGATGACGTTGAAATTCTTTCGAAACTTGCAAGGATTAAAAAAATTTTTATCGACGCTGATGCATTGGTATCATTATCATATTCAACACATATTTTACTTGATAAATATATTTTCTGTTCATCGAATCATTTTAAAGAAATACGTTTATGGGGTATTGAAAATGGTATTCGACTACAACATGACGTGAATATTCTAGAAAATGTTCATCTCGAACGATTAACAATAAGCGTTGCTTTCTTAGATGATCTCATTTTAATGTTTCGACGTTCACCAAATTTAGTTCATTTTAATGTTGAAGTAGTTCAGCATACAGCAAAAATCCTACGACAGAATGCAACGATTGAAATGTTACCAAAGCATTTAAAAATTTTTCATTTTCAAACAACTGATCAACAAGTATTATCGTATGAAGATTTAGATAAATTAGTTAGTAATATGCCTACGATTGAACTTTTCTCATTGGATGCAGATACAAATGATGTTAATTATGCCGATGGATATAATTGGCAACATACGCTATCAAGTGTAGTCAATTTAAAACGTGCTTATTTTAAAATACGAATTTATTTAACATTAGATATGACACCTATTGATGAAGATTCGATTTTAGAATCATTTCAACATGCCAATATACCTATATGTTGTTATATTGATACCAAAATATTGCATATTGACACCATACCATATAATATGGCAGACTTCGATACACATATGAGTGTAACAATATCACCTAGTGCAAAATCAGCGAGAGCAACAAATATGGAATTATTTCAACAGAAATCTAGACGTGTTCAGACGCTTATCGTAGATGGTCAACATGATCCAACAGTAATAGACGATTGGCTATGTGTTATCAATCGTTTTTCTGATATTGAAATACTTCAAATCAATGCAGTAAATATACCAGAAAATGAAAATACTAATATTGAAACTAAAACGAAAAATATCAAGTTACCAAATCTCTCGTATTTGCATTACATTCGATCAACTAGTTGTAAAGTACATATACATTTTTTTAAACTTCTTACTAACACTATTATCGTAAGTCCACAATTAAAAGCCTTATCGATGATGTATGGAGATTTAATTTATTTATGTAAACGTTTATCCGGTTGTAGTTTCGAACGAATAAACGAACTTTGGCTATATGGTGGCGATGCCGATGGACAAGTTACTTTGATAGATATTGATTTGTTACTTAAAACATTTCCATGTTTATATCATTTTGTTTTTAATAATCAATCGAGTAGACTTTTGAATAGACACCTAAAATCAATCGTTGAAATAATTCTACATTCTTCACCAACGCTAATTAGTTTTCGAATTTCATGTAATAAAGGTTCACTAAAATTATTATCGTTGATGGACAATGAGGCGTGCACTGCTTGGATCAAACGAATATGTGGTCTTAATAATCATGAACAAATGCATGTGATAGTAAATAAAAAAATGTTATCGATTTGGAAATAAAATTAAAATAGCCATGAGAAAATAAAGGCAACATATATTTGTACTACGACGCACGCACACGCATATTGCTGTTTTTCTGTTTAACTCTTTTTTTTTAAATTTCTGTTGTTATTGCGTTTTACTAGCGAGTCCAAAAGGCAGCGATAATGGTTAGTAAAAGAAACGATAGAGATAAACAAAGCAACGAAGATAGCATCGATATATTGTTGGCCTGGAGGAATTCCGTGCATATTTCGGTAGCCCAACCAATTTTATGATGATTATCAAATGCAATAAAAGCTCCACTAAAACAATATAGCTAGGCAGTATGCAACGATAATAATCATTAGTAAAACATATCAACTCGTGTTAAGGTTTAATTTTATCAACGTTTTTCTTATTTTACTGCAACAGATCTTTCTCATCGTGTCGTATTCGTGTGTAATAAAAACTGCTGATCCTTGTCGAACTGTATGAAGGTATATCAAATTGAATAAAGAACAAATTAAATCCTTTCCGCAACTAATCAGAATACAGTACGAATCAGTGCATCATTTTTCCCGCATGCTATATCCTTGAAAACTAATGATGATTACTATCATCGTCATTTTAAATTACCTTGTATACGTCAAAACTCATTAGTTTCCTTTAATTTAAATTCGACTTAAAAATAAAATTTTGCAATAGGAGTGTCATACAATTTCTGATACATATTTAGGACGGCGATATCGTCTTCGGGTGACTTATATAATAGGGTGATATGTATTTTTCCTCGTTCTTCCGTTTTACCTGTAAATCATTTATGTATGACTTAGTCATAAAAATAGGGGAAAAAATTAATCATATGGTGAATAGAAAAAAAACAACGTATGCATTGATGATCAATATTGAGTGCACTCAAAAATCGAAATGATTGTAACAAAACTTGAAGATTTACCCGATGAAATATTGATTGAAATTTGTATTTATTTAAATGGAGTTGATGTCCTTAATGCTTTCGGACAATTGAATAGTCGTTTAGAAAAAACCATAGGACAATTTCGATATGATATTAACCTTCAATATTTAACTTTAAAACAATTTCAACGATATTGTTTTCATTTATTACCTTATAATGCTGAATATATAGTCAAATTAACATTAAATACATGGTATTCACCAGGAGAAATTTCTCTGTTTTATAAATCAATTGCTCAATACAATACTCTACATGATTTTTTACCTTCACTTCAACAGCTATGGTTGATTAACTTTAGTAATGCAGATGTAGAGATACTTCCGAAAATTCTCTTCGTTGAAAAATTAATGATTGATATTGATACACAAACACCTTTACTTCATTCATCCAAAGTATTACTCGATCGATATTTATTTTGTACACCAAATAAAATCAAAGAATTAAGATTATATGGTGCTGAAGACGGTATTGAATTACAACACGATGTCGCTATAATGCTGTGTCAATGGCTTGAAAAATTAATCATTAGTGTAGCTACATTAGATGATTTAATATTAATATTTCGACGTGCACCTAATCTCAATAAATTACACATTGAAGTAAATATACTTTCGGTTAATTTACCAAAGCAATATGCAACTGTTGAGATGATGCTAAAACATATTAAAGATTTTCATTTATGGATTAAAGATAAACGATTACTTATATTCGATGATTTATGTAACATACTAATCAATATGCCAACTATCGAACGTCTTTCATTAGAAATCGAAACAGATGATATTAATTTTAGTGAAGGTTATCGATGGAAAGAATTATTGTCTCATCTACCAAAATTATCTCGACTAGATTTGGGACTTAAAATTTGGATTGGATGGGATTTCGTACCGATCGATGTTTCACCATATTTAGAAACTTTCATAGAAAATAATATAGATGTTTGTTGTTATGCAGATAGTCGTGTACTTTTCATTGATACGATACCCTATGATTTCGATAGTGTCACAGGTATTATGACATCGCCGCGTGCTAGTACTGCTAAATCAACAAATATGAAGTTATTTCAACAACGAGCACGAAAAGTAAATACACTTTGTTTTGATGGTCGTCACGAATTGACATCGGTCAATGATTGGTTGTGTGTTATCAATCGTTTTCCTGGTTTACAAGTACTCGATATTGCTTCCATTAATGTGAGGGATCAAACAGAATGTGAATCTGCCGAGAATTATAAACAATTACGATTATCTAATTTAACAGTTTTACGTTATATTCGATCGACAAAATGTAAAGTAAATATTCCGTTGTTTATGTATCTTGCTGATAATCATACACTTGCACCTCGACTTCGTATTCTGACAATCATGTATGGAGATTTGATTTATCTTTGCAAACGTTTATCCATAGATGTTTGTTTTAAACAAATCACAGAACTTTGTATATATAGTAATGGTGCTGATGGACATATTCGTAAAGAAGATACTGAATTGATATTAAAATTTTTTCCAAATCTTGAACATTTTTGGCTTCATGCTCAATCGAGTCGAACACTAAACCGATCTGTGGAATTCATTGCAGAAACACTACTGCGTTCATTACCAAAATTAATCAGCTTACGAATATCATGTAGAAAAGATTCATTGAGAGTACCATCATTTAATGATGATGATACATGTCATTCGTGGATAAAACGTGTGTGCGGAATAGATAATCCTGAAGATATTCATATTATTGTTGGAAAAAAAGAACTAGCCGTATGGAAATAGTTTCAAATTTGATAATTTTTCTATTTTGTTTTATGTTTCGGAAAAAAAGAAGATTTATAATATATATTGTTTGTTGTTATGCGACATCTAGAACTAAAATCTCAATGGTTATTTTATCGGAACCTATCTATATGTGTCTTTCATTGATCGATGACGGTTGCTAACTAAAATATTTTTTTATCGTCACGATTCGATGCATATTTAAATGTTGGTAAGTTTAAATATACTTTTGCTAGAGATCTAGTGATGAAATGACTTCCCTGTTATTCAAACACTGAAAAAAATGTCAGAACGAAATTATTGAATATCTGATGATTCGTTGATAATTTTGTTGTTTCGGTTTTGCGAATCGATGTTGTTAGTTGAGTATTGTCAGTAATAATAGAAGTCAGAGGATCATTTGATGTACTACCAAAAAAATAGTACATTGAGATTCGACTAATAAGACATAAAATGAGGAGTATTTGCAAGACAAACATAAACGATGGAGACATATATTTGATAGTAGCAAGACGAGATTGAGAATAGTTTAAAAATTCTTCGTCTTCAGTATCACTTGTTTGATGATTTGTATTGAGATTTTGTGCTGAATTAAGAAATTTCATTTGAGATTTCCTCCTATTGAAATTAAGTGAGTCTGAATTCATGTATAAAATTTGATTTTGAACATTAATAGTTGATTGACTATGAAGTAGTGGAAACATAGTCTTATGTAAAATCGGTAGTGTTGATGTAACAGAATATGTTGTTTGAATACTTGTGTTTGATATCAATGAATCAGATGTTATTGTTGTCGACGGTGATTTGTCAATTCTATTGGCCGTTTGATTCATATTTTCATTTTTCGGAATTGTTTTATGTAGTAAATTGTTTTGCAGAGTATTTAATATTTGTTTAATTTTATTAATAGATTGAGTATAGTTGACAGGTTGATTTTTGTCTTGTTTATTCGTCGTTGAAGTATACAATATAGTATCACTATTCGTTGAAGATAGTGAATTTTGATTAGAAGATCGAGGATGACTATTTATAGAAACAGAAAAAGGATATTAAGCGACATTTGAAAGGAATTACGCTGAGAAGTATTGAAGTCCGACTTGCTGATTTGAATTTGGAGGGAAACACATGGTTTCATAGGAATACGAGTGATGATTTTGGAGTGTGAGCCCATCTGATCCTGATTCTATACGAGTTCCATTATCTTGAAAATATGGTTGATAGAAAGAATCCATTTTTGCTTGTGGACATTTAGCGACATCAATAATAACGGCAGTACCGAATAGAATATTTTGTTGGTTAGAGTTTGTTGCATTTTGAGAATATTGCTGTTGTTTATTATTATCATTATCTAATGTGACAATAATAGGAAAACTCTCATTTTGTTGTGTTAATGGCGAATGATTTACAATATCATTTGATGTAGTTTTAGTAGGTTTAAGATTTTCAGTTAATGAAAATCGTTCATACGGCGATTGAACATCTTGTTTAGAGTAATTGAATGAGGTGATAGTTATGTTTTGAAGTAATATACTAGTATACATAAAAAAATGAAAGAAAATTGCCAATGATTTTCTTATGTTAGCCCATCAAATTGTGTAAATGACTCACCTCATTGTTTGATATTGAAGTGTTAATGAGCGAAAATAATGATCAACTTTACAACGATTTTGATTAATCAGATGATTTTTTTCCTCTAATCGTTTTAGCACAATATATTCACTTGAGAAATGTAACTCCCGATATGTTAAACTAAACAAATCAGTCAATCAATCTCAATTAAACTTTATATGTATTCTCTTACTTATTAATATTCTCTCTGAGATAAACCATTTGTTGCACGCAAACGCATCTAAACATCTTGATTTCATCATTTTTGCAACCACTATCCAAATCATAAGTATAACTTTGACTTAGAGTATTACATCTTGTAGAATTTATTTGTTGTACTTGAATAAATTGATCAATCAGTACACTTTTTGGGCTCGATTTTCTCGAAGAATTTCGATTAATCATTGAACATGACGGCAATTCAGTAGGAAACAGACGTGCCTGTCGTTTACATTTTAATCGATGTCCATGCCGACAAAACCTTTGTTCAGATTTCATCCGACGTCCACATTTTTCACATTGTGAATTCATGATTATCAATCATAACAACAACAAAAAAAAACGAAACCAATCGAAAAGGTTTATTTTATATTGAACAAGCGCCAAATTTTGTTTTTTCCCTAAAATTTCATTTCTTCACTCCGTAAATATAGAATCGAGTTTAGTCTCATGTGTGATCGTACGACGTCTTTGAGTGATCCCACAGCGGATTTTGTTTTATCAGGTTGATCGATTCCTATAATACAATCTAATCGATAGTTTTATTTTGAATAGATTTATTAAGTGTTACCGAAGATCTAATTGACTTTTCAATCAATGTACTTGATACAATACGTTTGCAATCACATTTTAATGATCGAAATCGACGAATCAGTCTTGCTATGCAACTTCAAGATGCATTGAATGCACAAAACTCGGCTATTGCAAATTCAACAAAACCATGTGTAGTACCAACAACATTAAAATATGATCTTGCTCTTTATCTCGATCGTATTTTACAAGCTTGCCGACGAACAAAAGTAAAGAAAGCTGAATTTCAATAGAATGAAATTTATTTTTCAATAGGGTAATTTAATGCTCTTACGCGTATCACGTTTGCGTTCAACAAATACAACTCTTCTACTTGTTGCTTCAACAAATGTACGTGTTGGGCAGTTGAACAGAAAAGTTCAATTGTTAACGCGACTTGTGAAAGAAAATGGTGGTGAATTTTATACGAAAAAAAAGAAAAAGAAAAATATTCCATCGAAAACACAGGTTGATCAAAATGTAAGTTATTTCTAGTGTATAGCAATACATAAATATGCACGACGGCTGAAATCTACCTTTGCTGATAATAAATAGACTGAAACAAAACCGGAGAATAAAAAGCCACCTCAGAAAAAGCAACCATTAAATTTAATGTCGAAAGAAGATCTTAATGATTATGTCGAAATATCATTAAGTTTTCGTATGGTATGCAAATATCCATCAAGTCTCTTTCTAAAATCTTCCTTTAAGATTATTACAAAATTTAATGAATTTATGCAACATATTCGTGATGCTTCTAAATCAATGTTATCTTCAAACGGTCAAGCCACTATTGCGAATTCACTTGTTCTCATACCAATAGCAGCAAATGCTCTTAGTGAATTAAATAACATATTGAATCGTCTTATACGTATTGTTTATACAGTTGAAAGTGAATCAAATTATTTACGCCAATCACCAACAGTATCAACGACACTTGATAGTAAAGAATTATATCGTCAAGATACAAAAACAAATGAACTCGGGTCATCACGCACTACAAATTTACGACCAGTCGAAGCAGCATCTCAAAAAGAAGAAATTCAACATACAATCGGATCAAATTTAAAACGGAGTAACATATCACTAATGAAACAAGATGAAACTCGATCGAATATTCGAAATCAATCAGCTATGTCATCAGCATCAAATCTCGGAACGACAACATCGAATTCTTCGTCATTTAAATTAACGCCTAATATGATTGCTAATATATTCGATGACTTTTTCAATGAATAAAATCTAATTTTTCCTCTTAGTATTCAATAAATCACTTTTCTTTTATAGATGGATATAAGAAATTATTACAAAGTAATTGTTGTGACATTGAGTTTCACTATTGGGGCTATCGTAAAATTAGCATTGCTACCGTGCTAGTAAGTTAAATTTCGCTCTGTACATTCCGGCTACGATAGAGGTTTTATTGGTTCATGCTTTGAATTTTTCATTAACTATATTTTAGTCATTCAACAGATTTTGAAGTTCATCGTAATTGGCTTGCTCTAACACATAGTCTACCTTTGAATCAGTGGTATTATGAGGTAATATATATATATATATAGTGACTGTATAAAGATATTTTCTTTATGATCGAATTTCAAATAGAATCGATCTGAATGGACACTCGATTATCCACCGTTATTTGCTCATTTTGAATATGGTTTATCGAAATTGGCACCTTACTTTGATTCGGAAATGCTCGATATTAATAATCTTAATTATGCAAGCGGAAAAACAAAACTATTTCAACGATTAACTGTTATCGGCAGTGAAATTATTTTAGCAATTGCTATTTTCTCGTAAGTTTCCTTATTGAAATGATTTTGTTTTACTATTGTTTATTTTTCTTCGAAACAGATTGTTGAAAAGTATGCAAATCGGTAGAAAAAATCATGACATACCCATGCCAATAATTCAACTATTGTTTGCATTAAGTTTACTGAACAATTTTGGTCTCATGCTTGTCGATAGTATCCTTTTTCTGATGTTGAATCATTTCAAATTTTCTTTCTATTTGCTTAAAATCCTTAACTCATTCTTATACAGATATGCATTTTCAATACAATGGATTTCTATTAGGTATTTTATTACTCTCCATTAGTTGTATGTATCAAGTAAGTTTCTCGCGAATATTCAATTGAAAATAGTTACTTGTTTGAATTTAAGAATCAATATTTAATGAGTGCAATATGGTTTTCAACACTACTCAATTTAAAACATATTTTTCTTTACATCGCTCCAGCTTATATTGTTTATTTATTTTATGCATTTTGTATTCGACAAAGTAAGAGTATGTGTGAATAGATAATACATCTAGTTTATTTGTTTAGGCTCTAATTGGAAGCGTTTTATAGTCAATTTGATAGCACTTGGCATTGCTACTATAGTTCCATTTATATTATCGTTTGGTCCTTTTATTCTTATGGTATATAAATATCAGAGTAGAATGTTGTTAAATGAAAAGTTAAAATTTTCTTTAATAGAATCAATTGCCGCAAGTACTCTCACGATTATTTCCATTTAAACGTGGCCTTTGCCATGCTTATTGGGCACCTAATGTATGGGCTATCTATAATGTTCTGGACAAAGGATTGGCTACGATTGGTAAGGAATGTGATTTCCGAGATATCAAAATTTCAGATTTGAATAATTTTCTTTAGGACGTTATACACGCTTATTTCAAGTGCGTTCGACATCTGTATCGATGACATCTGGTCTTGTACAAGATATTGAACATCAAGTACTACCTTCTATTACTCCTGCAATAACATTTATCTTGACAATAGTGTTTATGATGGTAATGATTAACAACTAACACTGTTTAATCGTACTTTGTTTTTGTAGCCAAGTTTAATTCGACTATTTCGTTGTTGTTCAAAACGGACTTTTCTTGAAACAATTATTCTCTGTGCACTTACTTCGTTTCTATTTGGATGGCATGTTCATGAAAAAGCTATTTTAATCTCGATTATACCACTTAGGTCAGTTCGATAATATACGCGGAGTTTATTAATGTTGCTGTTTAGTTTATTAGCATTCGATAGTCGAGAACATGCTCGATATTTTCTTTTACTTTCTACATTTGGTGGATTTTCATTGTTTCCATTGATATTCACTGGACCAGGTAGATTGCTTTAATTCTGTTTGCTAATTAAATTTCGGCGATGTTTCGATATTTAGAAAGTATGGTTAAAATTGGCCTGTTCATCGGTTATACAACTTTTCTCTTTTATGCACTTGGTGAAATACATGGGTAAGTCACTGAGCTTTTCTATTATAACCATCAAGTTTATTTTCGTAATTTAATAGCGATCATGGTTCAACTTTTAATCTTCCATTACTCAATCGATTGGAAACATTTTCTATCGTTCTATTGATTCCGCTTTGTGTCTATGTCGAATGTTTACATACGATTCTACATATCGATCGTATTCTACCATTTCTTCCTTTATTACTTATTTCTATCTATTGTTCATTTTTTATTGTCTATTGCTGGATTCGATTGCACACAATCGAAGCTCATCGAGAAGATGAGTTAACAGCAGTCGAATCAACTGTGAAATTTAGTGGACAATTGAATAAGAAAGAGAAGAAGAAAAATTAAATAATCATCTATCGTTTTAGATAATAGAAAAAACAACAACAATGGCAACATTGATTGTTGATGATCATCCAACTACTCTTCTTGATCATCAATGGCTTAACAGTGATCAAGCATTGGAATGTTTGAAAGCTATTAAAGAACGAACAGAGAATCAACTCCGCGATTTTTGTATGTATACAGTATAATAAAACTATTTTTGCCTCATATCTATTATTGTATATATTTGTAGCGCTGTTATTCAATCCAACACTTCCTCATAGTATAGTGACGAAACAATATCGTTATAAGATTCTTCTTGTTGGTAAAACAGGTATTGAGGTTTTTTTTTATAGTCTGTTTGTATTTATCTAACAATGAAAACTCGATAGGATGCGGTAAGACTAGTTTAGTACGTGCTTTGATGGGTAAAGAATTTTCAACATTGAATTCACAACCAACCTTGGGCATTCAAACAACAAATATCTATTGGCCTGTAAGAATAAATCAATCGACGAAACCAGTATTTATGTTTCGGCTTGATTTCTGGGATGTGGGGCATACAAGTTCAACTCGATTTGATTATATTGACAAAGTAAAAGGTTTCCTATCTGTCGACTGCTATGTTTTAATAGGATTCATTTATAAATTTAGGATTCAGTCGATTCACTGGATATGATAATTTTTGTTGTGTCAGCAGCTGATCGCGAAGGATTCAATGAATTACCCAGATTAATCGAAGAAAAACAAAGTCAGTGCAGTCCCAGTCGTCGATTTATTAGTCTAGTTTTTATTACCAAGTATGATACACAATTCAATTGTGAAATAGCTTATTTTATCAATATATTTTCTTGCCTAGATTTGATCAATATCCTGTATTAACAGAAAACGATGCCAATGAATTTCAAACTAAATATAATATTTCTGTATACTTGTTGTCGAATGCGTATTCAACTATGCGTTTAGCAACAGGCTATTTGAATTTAATCTCTGAAAAACTCTATAGACGTGATCTTGAATTAACTGGCCAACTTTGAACGTATTAATTTTTGTTGGTGTCATATCAATCCGTCCATTAGTTACGAATAGGAAACATATAAATAGTTCAATGAATGAATGTGGAACAATGGTAGATGAACTGTGCTTTTTTTGTAAGAATAAAATTTGTTGTGTGTCTTGTATTAGAAGATTTTTCTCAGATTTGTTTTTTGTTCTGCCAATAAAGTTTGTATGGAATTTTTAGAAGGAACTGTTTTTATAGCATAAAATCAATTAGATGTCAAGCTATGCCATCCACATCAATTCCAATATATCAATCGGAAAGATTAGAACGTTGGAGATAAAATAAATGTATCGTTAATCAATCATGCCGGTGCGTGTGAAATATTTCTAGTTATATGAGGTTTTTATGTTTGCAAGCAAATGTCGAGAGAGAAAAATCGCCGAAAAAAAATATTGGAAAGCCTTATAATGATATAGCAAACTTCTTAGATTTGCAGATGCAGTAATTAGACGACGGATATGATTAATCGAGAAACTTATTTCATAGTTACATTGACCGATAATTTTAAAATAGAACGTGCATATATAAATTGAACTTTTCTATGTAAAATTATAGAATTCCTTTCAGCCATCTACGTCATTATTTTTCATGAGCTCTATCCAGTGCACCTTTAGCTATGATTCATGGGAAGAAATTATTTTTATTTTTGTCCGATAAGATCAAAATTGAAAGATTCAGCTCGACCAATCAAATCAGGAATTCTATTTTTAATAGGAAACCATACAATCTCGTCTATGTTGCAATAATTTAACTTTAGGCTTTTGTATTAAATTAAATTACGTCTTCCTATTTGACACGTGGAGTTTGAAACGTATTATTAATAAGAACAAAGTGTTCAGTTACTTTCTCTCATTTCTGAAACTTCCGTCTTCCTCATAGTTCATATGATTTTTTTTTACTAAAAATATAATTAACGTCAACATGAACCTAACGTTCTTTAATATTCTTCGTTTGACAATTAGATACTTGAAAATTTTATATCTAATGAAAAAAAACACCTAGATTTATGAATTGCGTTTGTAGTCTAAAAAAAATGAAGTATTTGCTTGTTTCTAGTTGATTGGAACAGCCCTCGGAACGGTAATAGGTGCAGAAGAGGATAAATTTAAGATCAACTCTAATTTAGCTGACATTCAAATTTTCTATTGCACCGAAAGTGAGTAACTTATTCGTAATAAATGATTTTAGGAATAAGAAAAAATATCACTTCAAACTCAGACGAAAACGTCGTTTCCTGACTACATATACACTTTTTTCTTCAATGTGATAGCTTAATCAAATAGAAGTGTCCTTGAAAAGTAGAAAATAAGAAACGACAAAAAAATGTCGGCGACGTTCAATATCACTAAATCATTCGCTGCTACTTTAACACCTAATAAAACAAAATCAGAGAGAGAAAGAAAGAAACTTGACACGTAACATTTATAATCACTTATGCCTTTGATTATTATGGGAAAGCTTATATATTCTATATAAACATTTTACAATACAAAGCCATTAGACGTCGAATCCTATCAAAAGTTCTAAAACGATCACTCACATAAAATGAACAAGCAAAGTAAGTTAACTTCTTCATTTGTCGATTGAAAACAAAATTGAATTAAAGATGTCTTTCGATATAAATCTCGTGCTTTAATAGAACCGGGAGCACTTCAACGACGAGCCAGCGAAATGGTTCGACGTACTCTTTGTGGCGTGATTGAGAGTTCAAACGGGCGCTGTCCATTGGAAGTCGGCGATGCTGTTATTGTTACTCTTTGTGATACAACACTTTGGGAATGGACGCGTATGGATTTTCCACATATTCCTCAACGACATGTCTTGTCAAGTATTATATTGGACGATTGCGATTATTTTCCAATACCATTTACACTTTATTATAATTATGAAGAAATCGATGAAACTCTTTGCTATGGTGTACGCTGTGATATATTAGATAAAACGAAAGAAATTAAATACAGTTCGGAACGATTTGTTCCCGTATTAACTGACGGCTATCCAAAAACAAATATAAATATTATTGTTGGGCCGCTGAATATTCCATGAAACTGAATACAAGATAATGAGCTCAACAGAACATTTCATACTGTAAACGAGAACATTTTATGTAGACGAATAGAATAAAAGACAATGTTTGTTTATTCAAATAAAATGTTTCCCAGATGATGTAATATATATCTTCGCCTTCAGCAAGACGTCATCGAAGATTTCGATGTTGACGTGTTATTTCTCAGTAAAAATGCAAAATGTTCTTTCAAATCAGAAATCATTTTAATAATAAATCAACTATAATTATCATCGAGAATTTTAATATTTATTTTTACAAATTATTCAAAAAAGCTATTAGAAAAATATAGATTAAACTCCTCCAATATCTTTTAAATATTATCGATTTTTTTGCTTAGAAACGCCATCTTTTTTGATCGACATCCAAATTAATAAATTGAAAATCAACCAGCAAAGTGCAAGACATATGTTTGACTGAGTGATATGCTTTTTATAAACAACCTTATCTCACATTGATTATTACGGTAAAGAACTCGCTAACAAAAATAGAACATTGATAATGTCATAAATGTGGTCTCATTCGCTTTTTGCGTCTGTCTGATATTTATTATCCACTGAAAACAAATAATACATATCTCTGTCATCTTACTTATGAAAACGACATCAGTTTTTGTCCCTTTCTTCTATTCTGTATGTTTCTTGACAATTTTCTGCGGTGTCCTACACGGATAGGAATGATACTACTGGTACGAGAAAAAAAGCGTTTTCATTGTTATTCTCAATGTATTACTATTCAATAGTTCGCATATTATTTTTAATAATTATTTTTCAAAGCTTTTTTTCCCATTATGTTGTTGATCTTGTCCTTGTAATTCAATGAAATACTAGCAGCTAATGGAATGATCATTTCTACAAATGCTATCGCTGCGAGACAAAATACAGCCGAAATGTTCTTCTTTTCTTTGGAATTTTTAGATGTGATTATTCAAATACAAGAATAAATGAGTGCAGACGACATATTTCAAGCAGCTAAATTTGTTATTCAAGCTCTTGATGCACTTAAAAATGAATATGAAAAAATTCTTGAAAATCTTGTTCAATCTGCGAAAATATTATCATCGAAGAAAATCGAAGAAAAGATTAATTTACTTCGAAACTCGACGAATAGGATTGATTTAGGTTTGTAGAAAGAAATGTGCTTGCTGTCAAATTAACACTTTTTATTATTTCAATAGGAATCGATGAGGCTCATGTCATGATACGGTTAGATAATTATTTACAAAATGTTGAAAGTGAAAAACATAAATTGCGTATACAAGTTAAGCGTTTAAGTCAAGAAAATGCTTGGCTTCGTAATGAACTAGGATCGACGCAAAAGAAGCTGCATGAATCCGAACAAATCAATGCGTGTCATTCAATTGAAATTGAAAATTTAAGGTTTTTAAAAGATATTCAACTCTATGACCATGATAATTCTACGAATCAAGAAAATCACGAGCACGATCTAATCAATGATTTATTTTCTTCAGATGATGCTGACGATGAGCAAGATAATCAATCAAATCACTCAAAGAATAACATTGATTCTAATGATGATCTATCAATGGTAACATCACAATCGACGAATAGTTCGACAAATGGCTATGAAATACCAGCTAGATTAAAAACATTGCATACTTTAGTTCTTCAATATACGTCTCAAGGGCGATATGAGATAGCTGTTGCTTTATGTCGACAAGCACTTGATGATCTAGAGACGACATTGGGACATCAACGTAAGATCATATCTAAACGTAGTACTGAATATAATCTCGCGGTCTAGTACCAGCAATTGATAAATGCGCGGTTTATACTCCCTTCATATATATATATATATATACCCCTGAAGTTTTGTTTCACTGAAAAATGTGCCTTGAATTTTAGATCCCGATGTAGCGACTATGCTCAATATTCTTGCACTTGTCTATCGTGATCAATCCAAATTTAAAGAAGCGATTTCGTTGCTCTACGAAACACTTTCTATTCGAGAAGAATCGCTTGGGTTTGATCATCCAGCTGTTGCAGCTACATTGAACAATCTTGCCGTTCTTTATAGTATACAAAATACTTTTTTTTCTTCTATTCTAACAACATCAATACGAATCTTCTATTATGTCTAGGTAAACTTAGCAAATTTAAAGAAGCTGAACCACTCTGTAAACGCGCACTTGACATTCGCGAAAAATGTTTAGGCATATCACATCCCGATGTAGCGAAGCAACTAATGAATGTCGCTTTAATTTGTGAAAATCAAGCGAAATACAATGAAGCTGAATCCTGTTATAAACGTGCGGTTGATATCTATATTAAAACGTTTGGATATGACGATGTAAATGTAGCTAAAACAAAAAATAATCTCGCATCATCGTATTTAAAACAGCAAAAATATCTCGAAGCAGAACAATTATATCAAGACGTTCTTACATGTGTGCGTGAAAAAGACTTTCAATCATTGTTCTCACCAGCATCTCGAAGACACAGTGAAACACAAATAGTAACAACAACTTTGAAAAATCTTAGTTTACTCTATCGACGGCAAGGTCTCTATGATGCAGCTGAAATAATTGAAAGTTGCGCATCAAGAGCTCATAAAGATTCACAAGCTATCATTCAAGCACTAAATATGGTTCAACAAGTAAATCATCTATGATAAAATTGTCATATTTTTTATCGCGCTGTTTTTTTCTTTCTTTCACTTTTTCGATGAATTCTTGTTTGAAAAAGCTGTCAACTGTTATGCAAATAAAAGAAAGGACCGATAACCACATGTGATGATCATATAAATAAGTGAAATTTCTTAAAAAGAAACAAAGTTGTCTGTATTGAATATTCGCTTAATTCTGTTCGAAAACCTTTTATCATTCTTTGATAACAACATAAGACGTACTTCATGAAGGGTATGATATCAACGTGTTGGATATAAGAACGAAACAATGGCGTGCGAGTTGAAGCTATTTATAACGCACTCACTCGTGGTTTCTTTTTTGTCGAGAAGCAGAATACGAAAAAGAAAAGTAGCTAATCACATTTTATTGTATCTAATCGTGCAATCATCCATAGAGAGCGATTTAAATAAATACGAAATCCTTGTGTTTATTACTGATATACCCAATCATGGAGAGTGAAACGCCAAGACAGATGAGAAAAGTTCGTCGTAATATATTCCATCGGGTTGGAATGAGATTAGGAAAACTCGAAGAAAGTCTTGGTATGCCAAGTCCAGATTCATCTCGTAATTCACAATTATCATTAAGTGATACTTCTTCGAATTATCAGTGGGAAAATGCAGAAGATTATGATGAAGAAGGTGATAATGTATCAATACAATCTGTGCCTTATTCTCATTCGAACACTCCAAGAGTGGAGTTTCATCATTCAAGTATTAATATTTTAATTTTGAATTCAAAATTATATTGAAATGTTTTAGCTAATCAATTAACTCAGTCGCAATCGGATGTTGTAATGAACGGTACGAGCTCTGACGGTTCCTGGCAAACCCACAAAGAAGAACAGGGTAATCGTTGTTGTTATTATTATTATTATTATTATTCAGTATTTATCATTGATAAGTTAATTTATTGTAGTGAAGCTCACTTTCAAACATCAAACTGGTTACGATGATAACGAAACGGAGATGATTTGTAAAGATTTAATGGAAAATAAAGTTGATTATGAAGTTTCATTATTTTGAAGAAATATTTTTCTTATTATTTTAGCCAGCTCGATTATATGAATGTCGAGATTATGATAAAAAAGTATCACTTCTACGTATGGCTATTTCGTTTAATTCGCCAAAAGTTACTGTCCCGGTAATTATATGTTGACTAATTATTTTCATGATTAAAATGCTTTAGCGGATTTTTAACTTTCGAAAACTCGTTTGTATCTGATTGACCAACATGAAGTTAGTATCGGATTCTGGCGTCGAATTGATTTTCGGTCATATAAAGCATTTATAGTCCGATTATCGTAATCCGATAATATAAAGCCAGATAATGCTTAACTTAAAATCAAAAATGAATGGTAATTATTTTTGAGAATGTTTTATTAGCATATGTTATCTTAAACAAACTTTCTAGAGCAAATTCGAAAAGATACGAAATATGAATAACCATACCGAGATGCTGGGATTTAGCGTTTTTTTTTCTCGTTGAACTTCTTAGTCTACGCAGAATGTATTTGATTTAGTTTTGCTCGTGTTTGTGAACGAGTTTTAAATTTAAAACGAAGCTCAACATTAAGTATCTTTTATCGATGTCTTCTGATTGGCTAAACGATATTTTCACTATATTGCCTTTCGCGTTATTGAAATATCTTTGAAAATAAAGCTACAGTCAATGAACAGAAAGGCAGCAGAACTTTGGATGTCAGTATTTTAGCGGAAGATGTACTCAAAAACTGACATTTTCTGATTTTTCAATTTTTGATCTGGCCACCCCCAGGTAAAGCTACACTGAGAAAACGAACTTTTCCCTGGAGACCTATAAATAGTTTAATTCAACATAATATATCTATTCGATGCATCTCAATAATTTTCTAGGTTTTACTATTTCTTGAAAATACATTGTCAAAACCAATATTTTATGAACTCATCAAAAAACATCCATCAGCAATAAAAAATTATCTTAATACAACGAAATCACGGGTTGACAATGATTATTACATCGCCATGCTAAAGTAAGTTTCATCGAATGTTTTTTTGTTTCTTTAATTCTGATATTAAAAAAGGCAATTTGGTAAAAACCAAGATGTCGGTGTAAGTAAAGAAAGTCAAGCTAGATAATTTAAAACGAACGATTGCCTTATTTAAGATGATACGCATCCGGCAAGCAAGTGAAATCAAAGATATCAATAATAAAATTTCTCTATTAGAACAAGCGGCAATGTATATTCTGTGAAGAAAATGTACTTTCAATAGCTAATTTCTATTAAATTTAGTGAAACAAATTCGCATCCTTGGTGGAATTTACAAATAATTGAATATCAACATTTACTTCGTAAACAACGAGAATTACAAAAAGTAAATTAAAAAAGACCCCGTTTTCTCGTACGCTGAATTAGGCTTCTTTTTTTGTTTTGAACTAGTCTAATTCTTCTTCACAATCAAATGTTCGCCTTGAAAATAGAACTCTACTTGACACATATAAAATACTATTTGATATCGATTTTCGACGACAAAAATATACTCGACATCCCGATAAAACGGTAATACGCTCATGTATTTTGCAATATTTTAAAGTTTATATTTTTAGGCTGTCGAACATAGTAAAGAACTCGAAACAGCATTTCAAGTAACAATTAATTAGCTCATTAATATTTCAACTTTTTTCCTATTCTACTGAAAAAGATGTCTCCAGAAATGATCATGTGTGGTAAATTATCAGCAATAATGCAATGTGGTTTACGAATGCATTATGAAGATTTTATTCATCAAGCAATGCATCAGGTTTTTATTCGATTCTTTTTAAAAAAAACACGGAATAGAATATAAACAAAATACTTTTTTTTCTCATTAAAGGCTATTTTTAGTCGAAAATATGTTATACCACCAGAAAATTTTGCTGATATGGTCTTTAATTGGGTTAGATTAAGTGGAGAAGGGCAAGAGAAAGCAAGTGAAAAAACAGAAAGATTTCTTAATATGATTCTAAGTCCAATGCGACGAATTTATTACGCAGAAAAATTTCAAAATTACGATGTTGCCATGGATGTAAGTGTTATTTGTTAGTGATTAAGAAAAATCTGATTGCGCCGTCTTTCTTTCGAAGACTATTGCCAATGTTCTTCGTGACCGAGTGCAGTTAGAAAATTTACGTAGACGTATACCACGTGATCATGCATCGTTTAATCGAGCTACGTCATTGCTAGAAGTAATCAGTAACAAAAACAAAATAACGTTCATATTCAATCGTCTTCCTGTTTCTTTTAGAATTCAAAATGGAAAAATTAAAACAACAGACAACATTTGTATGTGTTCCTGTCAGATGATTGCTTAATTTTCTATTGAATAACTAATTGAAAATAAAATCCCTTGATAAATATGATAATAACAAAATTGAGATTGCCTATAAAATAGTAGAATGTATGATAATTTTATCTGAAAATCTTGGTGCTGATGGGTCTTTTGTATTAATTCGTTGAAGATCTTCAGCTACATCAAGTGATTGTGTTGCTATAGATGATTTGCTTACAATCATAAATACTATAGAGATAATACCAGCAAGAAAACACACAAGTAATAAACCAAAAATAATAAGCAATGTTGGATTATTCATTAGAAAGAGAAAAGAAAATTTTATTGAGTATTTTTGCTTTAGAAAAAAAAAAGAAGATTTATGAAGAAAAATATAGACGCGCAAAAGAATAAAGTTAATCTTATAACTAAATCAGTGAAGTATCGTTGCCATTAGAAGTTCATGTCGAAAATGTGTCCAATACTGAACTAATATGTTATGGCTTAGGTAATGCAGTAGCTGAAGGATTAGCATCCGATGATGGTGTGCCTTGTGGTAAACTATTAAGTGGAACTGACCGAGCGAGAGTAGCGCTAGCGTCTCCACTGCCTACGTTTTTAGCAGCTCCTGGCGGCCGTCCTATGATCGGTTGTGTAATACTAGGATCGCTAGGATCAATTTTAGGCAAAGTAGCGTCTTGCTCGACAATAGTATAGGTAGCAGTTACATCATCTGTTTTTTTAATTGCTGATGATGGTCGTGAACCCGCTGCAGCAGCACCTACACTTGCGGATGGTGGTCGTGAACCTGCTGCAGCAGCACCTACACTTGCGGATGGTGGTCGTGAACCTGGCGGAGCAGAAGCAATATTACTAGCAGCTGAATCTTCAGATTTTTTAGCTGCCGATGGTGGTCGCGAGCCGGGTGCAGCAGCAGCAGCGCTTGCAGATGCTGGTCGTTTGCTTGTTACTGCATTGCTAGCATCGTTTGAAGCTGGTCCGTCTGTGTTTTTAGTTGCTGATTGTGGCCTTGCAGATGCTGCTGCAACAGCGGCAGCGAGTGGATCAAGAGCTGGTATAGCAGTAGAATCACCTTTAGCTGCAGATGCTGGTCGATTTTCGCCTGTTACTGATTGTTTAATTGCCGATGGAGGACGAGATGACGACTGTGCGGTTGTAGCCGCGTTTCTATTTTCTGTAGATGATTCTTCTTTAGGTTTATTACTTGCTGATTGAACGCGCGCTGATGGTGCTGCGTCGGACGAAGGGGCTGGTGTTGACGACATATTGTGTTGTGTAGACAATACCAGAGAAAGAAAAAGAGAAAAAAGAACACTGTGCAAGCTCGTTTTTTGCCATTAGAATATTGTTTATTTGCTTAAAATATGTTGAGTTGCTTCGGTTTACATAAGAAACGAATGAGCAACTCATTTTCTTCTTGACAACGCTCCATACCAAATGTAGACAAAGAACAGCTAAGAAAGAATTCGGTTCTTTACCGTCGACTATCGTGCATTGCTTTTATTTGAAAAAGAAAAACTATTGTCTAAAATCTGTATGTATCGTATGCATGGAGTGGAATTTGAAAGTATTAAATTGTGTACTTGATTATGAATCCGATTTTGTTTTTCGTAGTTCTTCTCGAGTGCCCTTGAATTTTAATATTTCTAACTCAGAGAGAAACATATTCATTCATTTGCTTATTAAGAAACAATCTAGTGCTATGTTTTCTATTTATCATTTTATTTGTATGCCCATGAACAACAAAATCTAATAGTCAATAACAACAAAGAAAACTGTAACCATTCGTTTTGATTATTTAAATCGAGAATCTATACGAAAAGTAGATTTCCTTAATAATTATCCGATCACTTGACTGAAAATGCTTGGCAACACCAAACAAATACACATTACTTATTTTGCACATTCTATTCATAGGAAAAATACAGCAATCGACTTGTGTTTGAAGTTTTCATTTTCTTCTTGTTTTCAAAAACAGACTCATGGACTTTGTTTAATCTTTTAAGACGGCGTAAACATACGTCTAGTAACTGGTGAAAAAATAAACTTCCATTTTAAACATGATATAGTGCATGTTTGCGAATACGCCTTTACTTAGAAACAATAATCTAACATATTAAACAACGATAAATAGAAATGAAAGTAACTCGTATAATGACGATGAGAAACATTTCCTTTTGCATTCTCGTTCATGCTGTGAATCCGACAGACAAAAATTACATATGCAGATATGCAAAATACATTTGTTTATTCTCTTTGTAAATCATTTATGCAGAAAAAAAATGTCTATTCAGAGTAATGAAAAATCCGGATCAAGATGGCCGCTGTAGAGTTAATATTAAAAGAGATTTTTTTCATGAATGATTTCCTAAGATGTATTATTTGGATCATTTTTTTATTACCGATCAAATCTCATGATTAGTGCTATCTTCATCCTAGAAACTCGATAAGAAGAAGAAAAAACATTTCATGGCTAATTTTAAAATCAATGTTGATCAAAAAAGCATTCAAAAATAGCAATTGTTGTTATGACCTTCTAGAGTTAGATAAAAACTCGAACAGCAGGAATGAATGATTTCAAGTGGCAATCAATGATGCTCTGTTATCGAGAGGAAGCGACGTCGACCAAGCAAAATACAAATCAGGAAATGAAAGAACTAATTTCAATCCATAAATAACTGTCCTTGCAGGTATACACTGATAAATGCGTCCCTCGAAATGAGTCATTTTAATAACAATAATAATAATACAATGAAAACATAATTCATCACCAATAAGTCTTCAAGTTTATACTAATAAAATAACAACGTTACTACGACAAAAAAAAGCAAATTAACAATAGATTCATTTAAAACCGAGTTGTTTTATTTATTGTTTACTATTCTACATCTTCGCGAAAGAAAGACTTTTTACAAATCAAACCATATTAACTATTAACTTCTTCAGTGTTTAATTTCACACGAAATCTACTAGATAATTAACAGGGAATTAAACGATATAGAACTACTTAAAAATATTTTTTTTCTCCTGGTAAAAAAATACAGAAACAAATCTATTCATAAAACGTAATGGATAGGAAAAAAACAGTTTTCAATTTTCAAGATCATTAACAACAGATGTTGGTTCCAGTGTTCGAAATTGAAATGTATCTTTCAATTGTAAACATTCCTCAATAGTTCCGACACCGCCATAGGATGTTAAATCTTTTAAACACATCGTAGCAACACAAATTCCACAATGTAATCGTTCTTGAATCGGCCATTTCTTATGAATGCCATAGATAACACCAGCAGCAAACCCATCACCAGCGCCTACAGCACTTTTAATATATCCTTTCGGAAGATAAAATGATCCTTGAAAAAAGCATTCAACGGTGGAATCATATTCTCGACTAACACAAACAGCGCCACGATCAAAATGAACTGTTACTGTACGTTGTACACTGTAGGTTTCAATTAATAGTCTTGCTGCTTGTTCTATTTGCGAAATAGTTCCTTGTTGAAATGATTGATTAAGTATAAAGCCAAGTTCAAGTTCATTCAAAATTAAATGATCAACATATGGTAATGTTAATTGAGCTACTTTCGAATATAATGGATTATATAAACTAACGAAATCAATAATTGTTTCTAAGCCGAAGTCTTTAGCTTTTTTGAGTAGTTGTGCTGCTATTGTTTCATTATCAACAATACGATCTAATTCATCTAGAATTGTTAAATAGCCAAGATAGAATAAATTCGAAGGATTCTTTTCAAGTAAACGTTTAAAATCAAAATGTTTATCACTGAGCAATGAATTGGTACCACGTTGATTAAAAAATGTTCGTCGACCTGTTGATTCAACACTTATAACATATGTATATGATGTTGGTGTATCATCATCGGCAATATGCAATTGATCTGTATCAATATTTGATTTTTTACAATCATTTATTAACCATCGACCATTATCGTCGTTACCTAATAAACCAACGATGGACAATGGTAAATTTGCGTCCATCGAACGTAAATCTTTAATAACATTGAAAGGACCCCCGCCACCTGTTTTCGTTTGATGATGAATATTTGCTAGAGAACTTTCGGCTGGCCATTGATCAACAACAACAACATAATCTGTAACAATAGTTCCAGCGCAAATTACACCTCCTTCACTCATCTTTAAAATGTAACTGGAGTAACACGAATCACGTGATAATCAAAAGATAAGAAAAGACAAACTCATATCTATTCATTAATAAATATTTGAAGTGAAAAAAGATATGTTTACTGTTGTTTTTCTTTTATAATTTAGTCAATATTTTTAATTCAATTTCTATTCCATATTTAATGTTTAGAGAATCTCAAATACACGATAAATTTGATAGGCGAACATTTTCAAGGATGAATTTTTTTTTCGGCTATAAAATCTAACCACAATCAAGTGTGGTATTTTTAAAATGATATTTATAAATAAAATGTAATATTTGTATTCTTTTGATAAGGATAAAAATGAAACTATAGACGACATTTTCTTTGTATGCAATTAATTTTTACACAATAATAGAAAATACGATACTGCACATAAATTGGCTAGAAAAATAAAATACGATTTTGTGTTATTATAAATTAAAATAAAAGTTATTTTTCATAACATCTCTGCGAATAATACTACAATGCTGTTAGCAATATTTTGCGTTCAAATGAATATTATTCTTTTGATTACAGTTCAACTCACAAGAGGAATGATTTTTTTTTCTATTGAACCTGTCGGCTATTGTATGAGTTACAGAATAATTATGTACGAGGTTAGCAGAAGTTATAAATTATCTTTTATTTCTGAGCCTATATCTTAATGTAGATTCACAATTTATATAGATCGTCTAAATGAAATGAAAAGAACTGGTTTGCAATTCAATTTGATTAGAAAAAAATTTATCAATCTGAAAGAGAATCTTGACATTTCCATACAATTTCCCTTCATAATAGAGCATAGCAAAAGATTGGAGATGCAAAACTCCATAAAAACTTCATTATTCTATTTTTTCTAAATAGAAATATGCTTTTTTTCTCTTCAATATAGTTGACATTTTGATAGTCTGCAGACCATCTACTATTTTTCACGTATCTTTCGCTCGAGCTTCACAATATAATATTCTTTCTCAATAAAGAAATGGTAATTTTTGTAGGCAGTCCTATTGTCGATTAATTAATTTAAACTACCAGAGAACATCACGCCTTTTTTCTTCATGCGACATGAAGAATGCTCTATAATTTTTCTAAAGACACTTCACCACTACGCATTCAGCCGCTTTATTGTCAATGTTCTATATTTAATTTTCGCAACATATAAGTATTTCTGGACTTTCTAATCTTGCCAATGTCTCCTCCAATAAATTTACTTTGAGAATAGAAAGTACTCATCAGATAGACTCCTATTGGACAACAGCGAAATACAATATATATAAATACTGTCTATTTGTTTTCTAATAGGCAAAGACTTTGAATATACGAAAACAAAGCAAAACAAAAAAGGAAATAAACATCCACATTTATCTTTCAAATACCGACAACATGAACAGACAAATAGAACCTTTGTACAGTACAAAACAGAACGGAAATAATTTTGAATTAATCAACGACATTGAGACGAACTGAATGGCAACGTCACCGTAATATTAAAAATTAGAAAGAAGAAAAGAAAAGTATGATGAATAAGACGGTGAACCAAAAGAGAGAGAGAGAGAGAGACAGACAGAAGCGAAGAAGAAAATAAGATTCATGTTTGTTAAGTCGAAATAAAAAATAAATCCAATGTTATATCTTTTTGTATTTAAACAAGTGCTCGTTTATCGTTGGATGCTTGATTTTCTTCACTTTCAACGACAACGTATGCTGTTCCGTCTGGTGCATGTACTGCGTGATAAAGATCGTCTTCTGTCGGTGCTGGATGATATGATGTATCATAGATAGGTGTTTTTGACTAAATGATTAAAAACGATTAGTAAAATAGCAGAACAAAGAACAGCGTGAGCTTACTTCTGAACGGCCTGGATACTTGACACGTTGGCGGAATATCTAATTTCAAAAAACAAAAGATTAAATCTAAACAAAGAAAAATCATCTTAAACTTACGAGAACATATACTCCAGCAAAAATAATTGCCGTCAATCCAAGTAAGATGGCAGCAATGTAAAGTGTAAGACGTGGATTTTTTCTTACATAACGACTCCATTTTGAATCACGTCCAATATTTGTATCTTTGTCAACTGCACGTACGACAGCTGGTAAAAGTTTTCGAAATTCATATGAATTTAACTGTAGAAAAGAAAAAGTATTTAAATAATATTCTCTACTTATATTAAATAAAAACATACATCATTATCAATTTGATCCATTTTCTTTTGAAAATCATCCATATTCTCCGAATAGAAAGGCATTACTTGAAATGATGTCATACCATAATGTTCAACTGATGATATAGTTATTTGCGAAGGTTCTAATTCATATTTTGTAGCAATATTATTAATTAAGCCGCTGAAAGAAAAATAAAAAAAAACAGCTCTTTTAAATAAAATATTATTCTACTTTACTTTTTAAAAGCAAGGACAAATTTTTTATCTTGAAATAAATCCGTGGCAACATCAAAATCAAAAACAAACCAATTAACTTTGTCGGCGCTTACTAATTCGCATAGTTTCAATTTCGAATTGCATACACGACTGCCTGTGCATGGAATTCTCTACCAAAAATAGAAAAACAACAAAATTCAATGTAAACTTAATTTTTTTTTCTTGTTATTGTTTTCATTTACCGTGCTACATTGAATATTTTCTGCCACAGGTGCCCAATCACATTCACATAATTCACAGCCAGCACTATTCTTCTTATAGCCATACATACAGAACATTTTGCATTTTTGTAATGGACAATCACCATCAGTAATTTGTTTTATTTCATCATCGACACATGAACATGTAGGACAACCATTTTCATCTTTCTTCGGGCCTTTTGTACAATTATTTGCGCAGGTTATTGATGAACATTCACATTGGCATGTTTGACAACCTTGAAAAATACACAAGCAAAAGTATTTTAATAGAAAAAAACAAAAGAACTATTTTAATCATTCTTACCGCTGTAATCTTTTCTATAGCCATGTAAACATGTATTTTGACAAATTTTCACTGGGCATGCTTGTGGAGAATCATTACATTGACAGATTTCGCATCCATTTTCATCACGACGAAAACCATTTTCACAAAACATACGGCACATAGGACGTGCTCCACAGTCTACAGATGGTTTTGGTACAACATCATTTGTACTTGTTGATGTACATTTGCATGTTTGACAACCTTTTTCATCTACGACATAGCCACCAAGCCCACAGTTAGCTCGACATTTATATAAGGGACATTTTATTGGTGGTCGTCCGACGCGTTGTACTGATGCGTTTGAAATACACGCACATGTTGGACATCCTTTCGTGTCAAGTACGTAATCTCCATTTTGACATCGGAGATCACAAGTAGCAGCTAAATCGTTAGGACATTCTTTTGTTGCTGCTGGCGGTGCAATAGGTGCCGAAACTAAATTTAGAAATAGAGAAAAATAAAACAATAAGGTCAAAAAAAAAAGAAATCATTTCTATTTCAAACCTATTGCTGATTGTATAAATGTCGAAACCTGGTGAATATCTTGGCAGAGCAAAAAGCTCGTCAAAACAAAGCTCAGAAATTTAATCATTTAAGAGTTATGAGACACTTGTCAAGGTTTTATAAAGAATTCGATAATTTCTCTTTGTAGTAAAAAGAAGAGAAACGCAAAAAGAAACTGCTTGTTGTTGTTGACAATTTATTAAAAGTGTCGAATCGATTGTATGTGTCAGCGCTCACGCAATGATAGAAGAAATGCAGAGCAGAAAAAAATGTATTGGACGATTCGACGACATTAGTTCGTCTTTCTTTTTTTCTATTTTTTTAGCTCTCTTTCTCTGTGTCTCCGTCTCCCATATATCATCGCTCACCCACTTTTTTCTCGTTCTCGAAACAGGATTATTTTTTATAGGAAGAAACATGTCGTATGTGCGCTCCTCCCGTACTGTAATCACAGAAAAAAAGCAGCTATTTAACAGACAAGGTACACATTTATGATGACTATCTATTTTATTTTCAAACCACATCAAGCGCAACTCGCTTTACATGAACCATCACGTTTGATAGCGTACAATGTGTATCGTATTGAATACAAACATACGCACTGTGTCGTTTTCTTTCCATTTTTTCTAGTGCTGACTTTCTGCTCAGCGATCCCTCGCCGACGATTCTTCGTTCGATAAAAAGAAAAAGAAAACCGTTTTTTTCCTCACCGAAACGTGATAACATAAAAGCGGAAAAAAAAGGAACGATTGGATGCATTCATTATGCAAACATAGAAGACGACTAAAAACTTATTCATGCGCGCAATTAACGTAGAATATTTAAAGAGATTGAATCATGTATATAATACCTGCTTGACACATGGGCACATTACGTGCATCATTAAGACATCGAAAACCTGGAGGGCAATGCACGTCGCTCTAGTAGAAAAAAAAGTTAATTGAAAAAGAACTGAAAGAACTTTCATTTGTTTTAAATCTTATACTTGACAAGATGTTGTGTATTCTGTTGGTTTTGATTTTGCGGTTGCACATTGACATAGTGGGCAATCATCCGCAGATTTTGCAAAGCCAACATCTGCTGGACACAAAAGACCACATGAAAACGGTGGACATTGATCACTACATTCACATATATTACAACCGAATAAATCTTTTAAATAACCCGAAGGACAATTTTTATTGCATTGTTCCATTGGCGGACACGATTGACATTCACATAAAAGACATCCATTCGAGTCAGTTCGATATCCAAGGTGACAATTAAGTTTACAAGTAAATGATGATGGACAAACCGAAATACTCGCTGAAAACACAAGACAAGGAAAAAAAGGAATTTATTAATTATTATTCATTAACAGCTGCTTTTGTATTTAGTAATTTCCAACTACAATATGTATGTCAATAATATATGGAGTTTTTCCTCAATCAATAGCGTACTAAATAGAGTAGACATTGTTCAGACAAGCTAAAGAATGTTGTCATTTTATTCAAGGCTATTGCATTTGCTTTTTACCTTTCGAACATCTATACACAAAGCGAAAAGAAAATCAGAAAAACAAAACTAATTCAAGGGTATGAGAATGAACTGATTGCTTCATATTTTCTCAATATTAGAATGATCTCAAAGAGACCTTTGTATTTTGTATTCATATTTTTTTTTCTTCTAATTTCAATATAATTTATTCTTTATGCAACAACTGTAGAAATATCTTGTTAAGAAAATCGACGTATTTTGTCAGCTAAAGTACTACTTCGCTCGACTGCCTAATCAAATATTGACTGATAGAAATGTAGATTTTCCTGTTTGATTTGATTATAGAAACAAGAAAAGCGACATTATGCTACGATTTATTCCATTAATCATTCAAGGCTATTCGACTACTTTAATTTCGTTATGAACTTAACACTTATCGCAATAGAGAGCAAAAAACTAAAACTAAAATAACATCGAAGTAATCGTAGCAGACATTGCATTTCTTATAAAGTTCGTTTTCTTGCAATCGTTCGGCTTTTACAGGCGATTATTACGAATGTAGAAGATGTTTTATATAATTAAATGGCTGCGTAGTTCTATAGAAAGTAATTTTGTATTGGTAAATATACAATGACTCAGGGCAAATCACCAGCAACTGTTCGTCTGTGATAATTGTTTCAATAGCATTCTGAAAACGTGGTAAAACTTACATACGCTCCCGTAATGAGTTAGTGCATATGAGAAGGTCAAACTATTGAATCTACTACTAGGAAACATTCTGTAAAGCAAAATATGACAATTGTTCTTCGTGTATGACGTTTTTTTTTTGTGTATGTAAAGATGTTTACGTCTTGATAACAAAATAAACTAGAAATTCTAATAGTATTAAAAACAATTAGATGGATTCCTGTCTAAAAATCTATCAATCAAAATCTTGTTCTTCTTACTTGTTATGGAAGCTAAACAGACGCGTTTTCCACAGGCTGTATCGCAGCATTTATTATCGCCCGGGCAATCCGTATCAAAACGACAATCGGATTGAATAATTTCGGTTGGATCGCAATTACCAGTAGCATCAAGAACTTTTGGACAAACGCCTAATTTGCGAATAGGTTCCATACCTTTAACGACAGAGTCTAATGGTTCTGCATAATCATCAAGATATTCATCTTCTTCGCCAAATGTATTTTTGTCCGATGTTTCATCTTCGTCGTACTCATAGTAATCATCATACGATAAATCGTCAGCTGTTTTATTCTTGTTAGTACTCGCTGTTACTATTGGAGTCGTCGTAGACGATGATAGACTACCACGATTGTCAGCAAGTATTCTTGTACCGCCCGATTTAGCTAATAGACGAGGTGCTAATGGTGGTTGCTGTTGTTGTTGTTGTGATACTGATGACGCAAGTAAAGTTTTAGAAACCTTATTTTGGTTTAAATCATCTTTTAAACTACAATAGACACAATTCGAGACATCATCTTGATTACTATCATCGCATTTTGGATTTATACGACAGATCTCTGTCTCTGCATTACAATTAAGAGCCTAAATAATCAGGAAGAAAAACAAAATTCTTAAATAAATCCTTTTCTTTTTTCTCTTATTGCATAGTTTCTATTTTACCTGACATTTCTCATTAAAATTAATATTTGACTTTGCAGCATCTGCATAAACCAAAACAAGTAAAAGGCATAATCCAAATAAAGTTTTAACCATGAATTTCATTGTATCGATTTTCTTTTAACTAAAATTATAATCACAAATCTTTATGCTACACATGAGTATTCTCTTTCATCATTTGACCCTCGCTACATGCATCGCTGTTCAGTTTAGTATTCGATCAAAAAAAAAAGGGTACATGCTCGCCTCGTTTTTTTTGTATTCTTCTCTCTTTCTCCCCTACAATTTCAAGTGGCTTGTCAATACAATACACATATATAAATATCAACCTACATATATACACTCACTAAGTGTGTATATCGATTGGGTATGTTATGCCTGTCTGCATGCATTCTAAACAAAACTAAATGAGCGACAGAATAGATGAATCAAAATTGTCTAAAACCAGAAAAGGAAGGAAGCGGGAAAAGAAACTGGCTAACGAGCAAGAACCACATTTTGCATGCTCCAGTAAATACTTTTTCTTGCCAATGATAATAATGATTATTACATAGAACAAGTCAGAGCATTGCATACAACGCAGTTATAACATGAATATCTGATGAGTGTACAGCCGTGAGCGAGCGAGAGAGAGAGAGAGAGACGAACTACTTTCGTGCATAGGATGTATAGATCATCATTAGATTCGGTACAGGGTTTTTGCGTGTCAGTTGACATTGAAATGAAGAAGAAGAAGAAGAATGAGAAAAAGAAAGAGACATAAATGATGATCGAGGTATTATACATCGATGATTAGCAGATATGTCTACTGCTATTGAAACGTCACACAGATGCACACACACACACACACACATGTATGATAAATATATATTTCGAGGATGTAATTGATGACATCAGCACACCCTATATTCATGATTAATTCACTTGGGTATTACTATTATACTTTATCATTATTTCTTTTTTTTTCTCTTCTCTCTAAGAAAGAAAAGCATACCCATGAACAAGTATCACTTCAGTTTTATAGATAGTTAGTCTTTTATATACGATGCACACATGTGTATCAATTCGGCTAATCGATCTTATGTATTTATTACTCGCAACACTTGAGTTCTTACAATAACAATACGTACCTCATAATGGCGATTATGTCGTTCGTAAAATGATATATATATATTATTATGTTTTTTATGAGAACTTTATACTTAAATATATATATGATTGATTTTTCTTTATTTTAATAGAAACTAATAAGCTTATTCTAAGACGTAATATCATGTAATAACATATTTTTCCTATCTTAAACGACATAACCATTTATATATCATATTGCTTTGCTACAAGTATATGTAACTATATAATATACTATCATCGAGAACACGCCAAGGTTATCTGAGCATATGAGATTTTGATCGTTTACTAACGTCAAAGGAAATAATTTTGCGACCTTTGTTGAGGATGGAAGACAGGGAGGAAAGAAAGAAAGTAAATAAATGATAGTATATATATATATATATATATATATGAACTTCAATACTTTGTCTTAATCTCTTTCTATTCTTTTTTTCATCAAAATGGCGTTGAAAAAACGCAGCTGATGGATAAAATGAAACACACATCTGTCAATAGTTAGTCAGATGATATCATCGTGTAGCAAGTAGATCAATTATTACTCTTACAATCTCTAATATATTCTTCAATGAAGATAATCGACAGGAAATATGCATTTATTCAAAAAAATTCTTCCTTGTATTTTTATGATAGCACTCACTTAACTGAGTTGTATTTCCTTTGATTAGCTGAAATGTATATTTAAATAGTTTTATGATCGAACATGCTTATGTATACATGACAAAACGGTCAATATTGTCCGCACTTCTATTATTGCCCAATATCTTACGTCACACTCTCGTACACTTTCACTCAATATCAATCAATAAAAAAACGTGTTTCGAATATATATATAAATCTGTATATGCTTATGGTAGACGCCTTTGTATGAGGAAGAGATAAAACTTACCTTATCTTCGCTGTTCGCTGGGTTTATTTTTTTTGTGAAAATGATGTACCGCGAAAAAAAGTACGCACAATCTCTATCACATGAAAATTGAATCGATTTGAGGACGAAGAAGAAGTGATGCCGACAAATTTACGTAGTATGTATGTAAGTGAATGCAATACTCGAGAATAGTAGCGGAATACTCGGCCGATTTCTTCGCTTTATGGGCTTGCCATCCAATAGTGTGAAAAAATAAAGGAAGAAGAAAGAAGAAAAAGAGAACAGAAAAGAATGTAACAGCAGAATAACGAAAAAGAATAACGTTTGTAACAAGCATGCATCTATACACAAACACACTATACAAAAAAATGTTATATTCAGTGATCAGCTGTACGGTCTTGTAACGGTTTGACATCTCCGCCATACCCGAAACGCTCGATATAGTTTAGTACACAATGGAATAGAACCTATTTCCTAGAGAATTTACAAGAGATACGAGGGATGTAATAGAAACATATATACATGTATATAACACTATTCAATGCATTTGATAGACGCAACATGAAAAAGAATAGCACCAGCAGAATTCTTCGTCTTCTCATCAATCGTGTGAATTGTTATATTTAATTTCTAGACGACAGTTGTTCGTATGCTAGGGCTGATAGATCATCGTCATCTGTCTATTACCATCATGTTTTTCATTGTAGTTCAATCGTTACCAGACGTACAGAAGATAACCAGAAGCGTAAACACTTATATTAGACAATCTGTTGTGCGTAAAAAACAGTCATATCAACACGACGGAATATTAATTGTTACGTAAGACACGGACATTAGGAGAAGACACAAAGGCAAAACAAATCAATGTTTGATGCTATTTACTCATTGCACTGCACATTCCTTTCATTACAAAGAATAAAACTTATCGGCTATTTTGTTTACTCATCTGCCGAACGCTTTGAAAAATGATAAGCAAAACAAAAATAACAACTAGAGTTTTGTTTTTTCTATTTCCACAACTAAACGCATAGAAATTTCGCATAAACACTTTATATGGTAACAATCAGAAAGAAAAATCTTGTCTTTATATTATTATACATTAGTTTTTGTCATCAATATTTCCTTCGTTTCTTTTTTTTTCTATCGACTCGTTAACACATGCATATAAGACCTTCGATCAAAGTGTTGAAATAATAACACTCCTCTATGTCAGTTGTTTGAAGTAAAACATATCCGTTTGAGGGAAAAAAAGAAAATAAATTATCAGCCATACCACTCGAACAAATGTGAAAGAAAATTATTTTATTGAAAGTAGTAGTAATCGTATTGATTTCATACAAAAAAAAAGAATGAAAAGAACTTTTTATACTAATAGTAGTCAGCTACTATACTTTGCATTTCCAACATTTTTTCTCTTTCGTGCTCATTATTAAAGCATTTATGTACGTGCATGACTCTCTCTTTAGTAATTTTGGCGCACAAAACTCGCTTATACAGCTTCTCTCTCTCTCTCTCTTTTGAATGCATATGCATTAGAGACTAGTTTTACGTCTTCTGGAGAACTATATCACTAATTAGGTATTGAGAAGAGAAAAAGAACAAAATAGAAATGCTTCCAAAAATAAGCTGTGCTGGCATAGGTCGATCGTCCTGAAATTGGTAATAAAACAGCAACGAAACGATAAATAATTGTAGGAAAATCGAATGACACATCAAATATGAATATTCAATCACATCACTTGAACGCGTAACTCTTCAAAGAGAAAGCAAAAAGTGAAAGTCAAATTTTCAACTAAATTGATGCTAACAGAAACATGAATGAAACAGAACTGCGCACTGGTTTTTTGTTTTATTTTGCATGAAGTTTTCTTGTCGTCAATGGCTTCAGGCAATTATTATTATCTTGACTATACGTCTCTCTCTCTCTCTGGGAACTAATGAAAAACCATGGCGTTCATCGTTTCTTCTCCCGGCTCATTATTATCCATTATTAAAACAAGTAATGCAATCCATGCTCGTGTCTTATTCAAATTAAAAAAAGTCGGCATGTTGTCTTGTTTTGAGCAAACCTGCGTTTCCTTTTATGTCTTCATTTCCTACATTCATTTGAATGAATGAGTGCACTCTCTGATCAATCTAATAAATAGTAATCATTCATTTAACATTGTGATAAGTGTTCAATTGCATTTATGCTCAGTTTGCTACGGCCATCGGAAACTGTTCGTTAAGATTGATTACAAAGAAAAATAGTTCTCGAGCAAAAATAAACAAATTCTTTTAGATGTTAAGAGTACTCAATAATAACGAAATCAAATTTTGTTTGTATTCAATTCTCGTACGAGATTTTAACCAATCACTGCCGCTCTATGAATTCAGTGAATATTTCCAAGCTGGGCAATATAATGATGTTTTTTCTTGTCGCCATTACTAATCAACATAGCACAGTTATGAAGTTGCATACATATGTACTTAAAATTTAGAGTAAGTGATATTTTATTGCTAAAGAGAAACGTTTATTATTCTTGATGGGCTATAAACTTTGATCTATGAAAAAGAAAAATATCAAAACAAGTTATAAAGTTATTATGGCTTCATTCATGTTTCATTTAGAGAATTTTTTAATTAAATTAATGTTTGCAGTCAGAACTATAAAAGGATTTTATAAATACATAAAAGAATCATTTATTGTAACTGATTCATCGTAATCCAATGCACTTATCAACGGCAATATAATGTTTGTCTGCCAAAGAGACATTAACCAATGACAATAACAGCAGATCAGAAGGAAAAGGGTTGTCGTTATTCCTAATGTGGGCTACACATTCGACGTCATTGAAGCATTGGTTTATACTTTTTTGTGCGCAAATTCTTGCCTTTTGTTTCTCTCGACAACTCGTACGAGAGTATGATCCATGGAATATAAATAACTATATTTACAATAAAAGAGATCTCAGGTGGAGTTAGAGCTTGAAATGTAATATTAGCCATAATTAAAATCAGATGTAAGCCAGTATCATTTAACATGAGTATGATCATATGTCATCAGTAAATATCGAGTCCAAAGTCAGTTTTTGTTGAGAAATACATATTGATTGTTGTGATGTTCTATTTTCTCGATTAATGGCAGATATTCTGATGAATCATATGCAGTAAACAGTGGAATTTGGTTACAAAAAAATAAGGTTAAAAATTCGTAAATAATCTGGACGTGTCTCATGGGGACTTTCACATCTGTTTTGTTATCCGTATCACAAATATATATATACGTATATAGGTTAAATGCGTTGCATCATCGAGATTAAAAAGTTAGTCAATCAGAAAGTCTCTTTCCATCAATGAAACATTTTTTTTTGTCTATATGATAGAACAAAGTATAAATAATAAATATCATTTGATAAGAAAAGAAGAACACTTGAAATTAACAAGGGAGCCTCTTCGAATTTCAATGATACTTTTTTGTTCTTTCTCGTCAGACACAACTGAGTGTCCTAGTACAAAAATTCACATTTTTTATTGCTTCTTTCACAAGTTATGTTGAGATTTTCTAAATTTCATTTACATCCATTAATTAGAAGAAGACCTTGCATTTTCCTAAAGAATATCTTTATTCTAGTTAGACAAAATATTCCGATGAAAAATCGTGTAGGTTTATTTCTGATCGAAATGTCACAAAAATATGAGCATACCTTTTTTAAAGCAACCATAGAATTTTGAATCCTAAAATTATTAAAACAGAATTGATGTGTTGAAAAACTTGTTATCAGAAACTATAACAATAATTACGGGTGATTTAACGGTAAGGTTTCTTGCTTTTGAAGAACGACCGAAAGAATGTTGACGATTTCCGAGAAGCTTTTGAGGTCGCTCAAATTCATTTTCGGTAGCCTGTTTTTTATTTGCTCAAGTATTTTTATGTAATTTTAACATATCCATTCATGCCATCTGTTGCATACTCCAGAAAATTTTCACATGAATATATTACGAATATTGAATGAAAAAAATCCAGATTTCTAATTATTCATCGATCGCCATAAAACATGAGTTTTTGCTTAGAACTAGATGATTGGTTTTAACAATCTGAAAAGGAAGAAACTGTTTTCTTTTGAGAAAGCTGAGATTTTTTTCTTCATAAAAATTATGTTTAGACAAAAACAATTAGCAGGTATTAATTTTAATTCGAATCTATTTCACGCCCTGTACTTCTCATAATGAAGCAGTTATAGGAACTGTTCGGAACACAATAATGTTGTAATCGTGCTCGTAGTTAATTAAAATATTTTATTTCGAAAATTTACATACAATTTCAAACGACTTTCCTTCACGAAAACAAATGCATACTCGTTGAATCCTCGTTAATCAAGGCTTATTTGCTTACAAAACATGTACAGAATGCGAAAAAAATCTACCTGTCACACTACGACGCAGCGACGATGATTCTAAAAGAAAACCGACGAATCTGTTAATATCTTTGTTGCATTTAAAAAATTTGATTTTGACATTTCTGTTAAATGATGTACTAGTAAAGAGCATGGTTTGAAACATTTTTCTTAGCAGTAAAAGGTTCAAAAATACCTTTCTTTTTGTGATTACAACCGAGCACGTTTTTTTCAAAGGCTCGCCGTGTTCATTGTATGATTTTACAATATATGTTGTTTACAGAGTCGCTCGACGTTAATAGTTCAATATCTAGCGACCTCTTATCTATTAGCTTAAGGCTGAAGCAATAAACCAATGAGTAAAAAAAAATCTTGTTATTTGTTTTGCTTTGCTTTTCTTGTTGATCAGTTTTGGCAATATCTCGTTACTGCTCATCATGTTTTATCTTTATAATTGAAAATGAAAAGAAATCAATTTTAGCATGATTTGTTCTTAGTTTTAGATCTTTTGTCAAAGTAACATATTTTTCAACGAATAATGACAGATTCAAAATATTTCTCAACAACACGAAAAGGTATGATAGAATTCCTATGTTCAATGACAATGTTGTTTTGAGTCATCGCCATGTTATTCGATCCCGTTATATTACTCATACGATGTGAAGGAAATTAAGCAAATAAAACCGACCTATTGTCTGCTTTGACTCGTACACGTGTCTATGCAGAGGTAAAGAGAAGAAGAAAAAAAGGATACAGGTAGGATGCACATACACATATAAATGACCACCTTCGCCCTCTGTCTTTCTTTCTTTCTTTCTTTCTTTCTTTCTTTCTTTTTCATTTTCTTTTTAATCGTTCTCTTGTGTATTGGTCAAAGGAAGACTGAAATCTCGATTGTCACATATTTACATATATATTTTGTTTCTTTCTTTTTGGAATATAATCGTCAAGCAAAATAGTATCTTAGAACATTTTTTTTCTTTCTTTCTTGCACATGAGGTGACGACGACAACGACGACAGGCTTTTTTATTCTTAGAACATAATCATCATCGTTTTGCAGTTTGCCTCCTTGTGAAACAGCACATACTTCAGTTGTTCTCGCCTTCTTGCCTTTATCAAACTTAGGGCGTGCATTTTTCTTCTCGGTTCCTTCACTATCATATCATTCATTTTAAATCATTGCGTCCTAGTTGACTTTCTTATTTTTGATTGAAAGATAAAAATTTTAAAAACTAATAAAAATGGCTGCTATGTATGAAGCTGAAGCGAAGAAAGGTACTCGTTTTTTAAGGTAAAACAAATTTAATTGGTTTATATTTATATCTAGGTGAAATTTATGAACTCAAAGCTGAATTGAACAGCGATAAACGTGATCGTAAAAAAGAAGCTGTAAAAAAGGTAGAAATTTTTCCCTGCAAACGAATTAAATATATTTTTTTCTTGTTATTCTCTAGGTTATTGCAAGTATGACAGTTGGGAAAGATGTTAGGTAAATGAATAGATCAACGAATTTTGATTTTTCTAATCAAGATGTATTTCTGTAGTCAACTCTTTCCTGATGTTGTCAATTGTATGCAAACAGATAATCTTGAATTAAAAAAACTTGTTTATCTCTATTTAATGAATTATGCTAAAACACAACCGGAAATGGCTATTCTTGCCGTTAATACATTTGCAAAAGTACTATAACAAAAATAATAATCATTTTTATTTCGATGTATTTCTTCAATTAGGATTGCAATGATCCAAATCCATTGATTCGTGCATTGGCTGTACGTACCATGGGTTGTATACGTGTAGATAAAATAACTGAACATTTATGTGAACCATTACGTAAATGTTTAAAAGATGAAGATCCGTATGTTCGAAAAACGGCTGCTGTTTGTGTAGCAAAATTATATGATATTAATCAACAACTTGTTGATGATCAAGGTTTTCTTGATATGTTAAGAGATTTATTATCGGATTCAAATCCTATGGTTAGCTTTATTTTTTGTGAAGAAAATTTGATGAATAAAAACGTTGATTTTTCTATGCAGGTTGTTGCAAATGCTGTTGCAGCATTAAGCGAAATAGCTGAACAGTCACCACAAACGAAAGTCTTCGATTTAACTGGACCAACTATTAATAAACTTTTAACGGCACTCAACGAATGTACCGAATGGGGACAAGTTTTTATACTTGATGCTATTGCAAATTATTCACCTAAGGTTTGATTATTCAGAGTGAACTAGAAAATTTTTACCTCCATGTAATGAATCCAGCTGGCTCAGTTACTTGTAACTTTTCATTTCCTCGACTGTTTTTGAGTCGTTCAAAATCATCTATTCCTTTTGTTCATAGCAAAAGCTGCAAGTTCCTATTTATTACCAATAGGAAATTATGCATCACTAACATTGAACTAGTTCTTTGTTTTGGCTTACGAACTGTTTACATATTTTGCATAAGAGTCGTTTTATATATTATGAATTTATAATAGAAAATAGATTAAGGTTACTGATGACTGGGATAAAAGAAAATGGTTGCCTGGCTTTTTATGCAAAATGCTACTAGCATATCTTTAATCAAGAAACTTCTATATTATAGTTCGCAAAAAGATTATGCTACTAAGATTATATATCAAACTGGCAAACATGAGAATAATGATTTTCGGAAAGAAATACATCATTTTTCATCTCGACGATCTTAGCATAGAATTGAAGAAAAGAAATTTCATTGTTTTAGTTTATTAAAAGCTCTAGACAATACACAGGAAGAATCTTAATCTGATGCTTTGGTGTGTCAAATAGACAGTGCCGTTGAATCAGTCTAAAATTACCCAATAGGGAGTCAATGATTGATTAAAGTTTAGCAGAAATTTGATATGTTGTATTTCACTTTCAATAAGACCAAAGGCGGAATCAGTTATTTTTCATGTGTATTTCGTAAATCTGATTAAATGCTTTTTATTTGTATCTATGAAAAAAAAAAGATTATACAGTAACGCAATCGGAGGACAATTTCAACCTTAGAATTCATTTAATAGCCGACTTTTTCTACGTAATTATTTTTATTTAGGATGATAAAGAAGCGCAAAGTGTTTGTGAACGCATCACGCCACGTCTCGCTCACGCAAATGCTGCTGTTGTTCTATCGGCTGTTAAAGTAATTACTTTCGCAGCCTAGTTTTTTTTAAAAATTATATATCTAATTCATTAATTGGAATAGGTATTGATGAAATTCCTTGAATTAGTCGATCAACATAGTGAATTTGTTCAAGGTTTACATCGTAAATTGGCACCACCGTTAGTTACGCTCTTATCAGCTGAACCCGAAATTCAATATGTTGCATTACGTAACATTAATTTAATTGTACAAAAACGGTAACACGATCATTTCATTGTTAGAAGACTTCCGAGGACGACTCTCGAGACCGATTATGATATTTCTTGTTATTGTTGCATAAATGACAGTAAACATCCATTAAGACGGGCGCTATCTATTGACATAACATATATTGATACGAATGGCAAATCGATGAGTCAAAGCTTAGCTTGAAAATACGTTCGATATGAAAGACTTGAGTGATGCATAGATAAAAATAGAATAATTTTGGAGCCGCCTCGATGTCCTCCATTGGTTTGTAACTCAAAGATATTTGTCTATCTCTAGAAATATCAATTTTCCACTATGAAATAAAAGTATCTTTGAGAGAAGAGGCCAATCGAATAATCTTGCTCATTCTTAAATAAATTAACTTTTGATGAAAATATCTATTTTTAGACCGGATATATTGAAAAATGAAATGAAAGTTTTCTTTGTTAAATATAATGATCCAATCTATGTTAAACTTGAAAAACTTGATATAATGATACGTTTAACAAATGCAACCAATATTGCACAGGTTTTAGCTGAATTAAAAGAGTAAATTCTCTCTAATAAGAATGTTTACAATTGATACGAATTCAAAATAATTGTTTAGATATGCAACTGAAGTAGATGTAGATTTCGTTCGTAAATCAGTACGTGCTATTGGCCGATGTGCAATTAAAGTCGAACAAGCGGCGGAAAGATGTGTTAGTACATTAATTGATCTGATTCAAACAAAAGTTAATTATGTTGTACAAGAAGCAATTGTTGTCATTAAAGTAAATTTTCAAAAAAAAAAGACAAGACGTTTTTTTTAATCTAAAATTATGTTTAGGATATTTTCCGAAAATATCCAAATAAATACGAAAGCATTATTGCAACACTATGCGAAAATCTTGATTCACTTGATGAACCTGAAGCTCGGTAGAATTTGAAGAAAAATGAATTTTTCTGTTACGATAAATATTTCTATTCTAGCGCATCGATGATCTGGATTATTGGCGAATATGCTGAACGTATTGATAATGCTGATGAGTTACTCGAAGGTTTTCTTGATGGTTTCAAAGATGAAAATAGTCAAGTACAATTACAATTGTTAACAGCAATAGTTAAACTTTTTCTTAAAAAGCCAACTGAAACTCCACAAGAATTAGTTACACGTGTTCTAACTCTGGTTACACAAGTAAGTTTAACGTTTATTGGGAAAAAAAACGAAGATTTCTTTTTAAAAATATAGGAAACAGATAATCCTGATTTGCGTGATCGTGGTTACATTTATTGGCGTCTTCTATCAACAGATCCTAAAGCAGCGAAAGAAGTTGTTTTAGCTGAAAAACCATTGATTTCAGAAGAAACTGATTTACTTGAACCGACACTTCTCGATGAACTTATTTGTCATATAGGAACATTAGCATCCGTTTATCATAAACCACCAAATGCATTTGTCGAAGGTCGACATTCATTGAAAAAGAATCTTCCACTTCGTTCAGGTGCTGATGCTGGTGATGATGACGACGGAGTCGGTCAAGACATGATGTCATCTAATCAGCAACAACAGCAACAAACAGTTGTTATTGGTGCAAATGTTGGTTCATTAATCGATGATTTCGATATATTAGGACCCATGCCAACTACACAACAAACAACAAATATTATGGGCCAAGCACCACCAAGAGCTGCATCCGCTGTACCAAATCTACTTGATGATGAACTTTCCTCGATTCTTGCACTTGATTCAAATATCGGTGGTGCTCAAACACCTCAATCTCAAATTCCGATAATGACTACAGCAACTTCATTTCCAATAAATCCAGCGGCGAAGAGTGCAAATTTACTTGATGATTTATTCGGTGATTTGAACTTAGGTGGAGGTAGCTCCGGACTTTTATATTCAGGTCCAAGTGCTTTTGTTTTACCTAAAGAAGTAAGTCTGTTTTTTTGTTGAATGTAAAGAACATCCACATCCTTGAAACGATTACTATTCTTAGATTTGGTTGAGTGCTCAAAAAGGCAAAGGTCTTGAAGTATCCGGTACATTTGCTCGTCGTAACAATCAAATCGTAATGGAAATGGACTTTTCCAATAAAGCATTACAACCAATGAGTGATTTAGCATTACAACTTAATCGCAATAGTTTTTGTTTAACTCCAGCTCAGCCATTGCAAGTAACGACTCCCTTATTTCCCAATCAAAATGTATCAACACAATTAGTATTAAATACGAATGGACAAATGATGAAAATGGAACCGTTAACCACTCTTCAAGTTGCCATTAAGAATAATGTTGACGTGTTTTATTTTGCGTGTACTGTACCCATTCATATTTACTTTACTCAAGATAGTGAAACAGATAAAATGGCATTTGTTCAATCGTGGCAAGATATTCCTGAAAGTAACGAAATTAAACATCAACTACAAAATGTTCATGGATTATCCATTGATGATTTACAAAATAAATTACGTTTAAATAATATTCATACAGTAACAAGAACAATAATTGAACAGAAAGAAATGCTCTATCAAGCAATGAAATTAACTAACGGAATAGTTGTACTTGCTGAATTGAAAATTACGCCCGGAAATAGAACAATAGCGGTAAACTTTTATTTTACAAAATAAAAGCTTTTCTTTGACAAAATACTTTTTTGTTCTAGTTCTCACTTAAAACCAAAGTTCCAGATGTTGCAAAATTAGTTGTGCAAGCCTACGAACTTATTCTTGGTAGTAACTAGTCGTTGATTAGTGTTTCTCGTAATGGATATATTTATCTTATCTTTTTAAAAAAATGATCAAAATTCTATCATTTGTTTTCTTTTTGTTCGTTTACTTGTCTCATTCCTTCTGTTTTTTTATGTCTCAGTCAAACTCAATATGATACTAAAATATATATCTATTCACTTAATGAAATGTATTCATCTTTGTTTTTTTTGTAGATCTTACATCAAAGAAATAGAGATTGTGAGTAATTGCGTGTGTACGATACAATAGAGTAGGACAGTTGTAGTTTTGCTTTGTGTATTGATACTCCATGGAGGTTTAATAGGAATGTAAATGAAAAGTATTTGTAGAAGATTACGTTTGTGTGATGTTAAGGAATTTTCTCTTCGTTCACTCAATTCTTTTGAAATGGTTCTTTTTTTGCAGCTGGTGGTCTCTCATTTAGTAACAAACGAGAATAAATATTTTTCATGTAACCGAGAGAACCTTCTGGAACAACTAGAATAAAAAAAAAGTCTAGATGAACTAAGCGATTTGAACTTGCTGACCCCTTATGATCGATTGAAATATATTGGCTGGATTGTACTTTGTTTTTTTAATATCGATTTGTTTTACCATAGACTTATTCACATTCGACAAAAAACGTGCCAATAACTTCGCTGCGATGTTGATCATAAAGGTAGATCGCGTTAATCACACTACCAGTTTAGTTGTAATGATGTATGACTCATATGTACTAAATAGTTATTACGATTTAAGTGCGTGAATTTATACATGAAATCACATTTGCATGCAATTATCTACAATGGTTGACTGTCTATCGTATTAAAATTCAAGGCACATTCGTCTAAAAATATCAAAGTACTTATCGTCAATGTAAATATTGATTCAATATGCGCAATTATAAATTTGGGAAAGTTCCCAGTGGATTGGTTAAATATGACTTCCTTGGTAGAAATTATTTCTTATTGTAGATAAACTCTAATTTCATTCCAAATTTTTCTATTTGAATGCCTGTTGAATCAATAAAACCTTTTCTTATTGGTGTTGCTGGAGGACCCTGTTCGGGTAAATATTTTCAATGATTTTCTATCGATTGTAAATATTCATCTCATAGGAAAATCAACAGTCTGTCAAAAAATCGTTGAAGCATTACAACCAAATGATGATATCGATCACACAGATCGTGTAACTGTCATAGCAATGGAGAATTTTTATAGACCTAAAACAGCAGAACAACGTGACATGGCTTTACGTGGAAATTATAATCTTGATCATCCAAGTGCGTTTAATGAACAACTTCTTTATAAAACATTAAAGGATTTACTTGATGGTCAAACTGTCAAAGTAAAAAAGCAGCAAGCGAGGAAAAAACAGAATAATTTATATTTTCATTTAGATTGCTCGTTATGATCCTGGCAAATATGAACATACTGAAGGTGCATTTGATACGATTAAACCTGTACCAGTTATTTTAATTGAAGGAATTCTGGTTTTTTATTTTCCTGAAATTCGAGTATGGGAAATATTTTTTGCTCGGAATTCATAATGTATGTTTTATTGATAGGCTCTATTTGACATGAAATTATTTGTTGATACGGATGCTGATACTCGTTTAGCACGTCGCGTTCTACGTGATATGAACCAGCATGGAAGAAATTTAGAATATATCTTAAATGGTTATATAAATCATGTCAAACCATCTTTTGAAGATTTTTGTTTACCAACAAAAAAATATGCTGATGTTATTATACCTCGTGGCGCTGATAATCTTGTTGCTGTTGATCTTATCATACAGCATATCAGAGATTTTCTTAAAAATAAATCCAGCAAAAATGAAAATCAACAATCGATCGAGCATAATACGCGATCACGACCACATTGATATTATAGTTTATTTTAAAATTTATATGTAAATATTCATAGCATAGTCAGATTGAGAACCTTCTGTTTTCTTCCCGTTTGAAAATACAAAACATATAGAATCAAGAATGTGAGTTTTTCTTTTTCACCGCTTAGATGTTTTATCACCTGAAATCCTAGATGTGGTTTTCTTTTTCTTTTTTTTTTATAAATCATAACCTAGACAATTTTATCGCTAGTCATATTTTTTTATCTATACAGAATTTTCGAATGAATATGCATGACAATTAAAGAATAAGTATTTTTTTTTCATTATATGTGCATATTAGCTGATAATAAATCGTTAAAAATATTCTATAATTTCTGTTGAATTCATGAAGAGTGTTATGTTCAAAATGATTTGGAATATTATCTTATGTTTGCAACAAGGAAGAGGCATCTTCTTCTGGCAGTCATTTTGATTGTAGTTTACTATAGGATTGAGTTTATATTTATCTAGAAAATAGATATTTCAGATGACCTCTCAATATAGCTTAACAAAAAGTTGGACATTATTGCGTTATGCTCTTGAAATAAATCATCATTCACCACTGTCAAGTCAAAACTCATCACCATCATCATCATCAAATGAACGGCAACAGTTTGTAGTTTCATGACAATTTTTAATATAATATTTTAATTTTTCTCTAGACCACAACGTCTAACTGTTGATTTTTCCGAAGGACCTCTTAGTGTAAATTTCAGTACAACTCAACAATTGTATGTTCTGCGTGATGAAACAGAAAAAATCGAATGTGTTGATTTATCGTCTCCTAATCCATCGGCAATATTTGCTACTTATACTGGCGATAGTCTTTTAATGAGTTATCTTATTCCCAATGACAATATTCAACGTAAATTTTTAATCAAATTTGCTTCAACTACTAATCAAAATGGTCGTCAACATTGTGAAGACTGCGTCAAACTACTTTCGCGTTTAATTAATATTACGCATTTCGATTCGATATCATTATCATCCATGACAAATCCTGTTGAGAAACCGAATTCAATTCTATCCATTACTGATATGACAAAAGCATTAATGGGCGATACTTCAATCAAATTACCTCGATATTATAATCAAGAAATATCGTTCGATTTAAATCGACCCAATGAGTTTTTAGAAAAATATTTATGTGATGAAACATTTCCTGATTTTGTTGCTAGTGTTGCATCGATACTCGATGCAATGAAAGAAGCTTAAAGATTGTTTCGATTTTTTTGTAAATATTTTATCGATAGTACAACATGAACTTATAGGACAATAATAATGATTGCTAATCTTTCATTGGTCGAAAAGAAATGTTTAAATATTTGCATGATTTTAGAACTACGTTTGATATTGAATTGATACATGCTGTTAATTACTGATGATTGTAGTGACTTCCATGTCTAGTTATTAATTTTTCAATCTATTTACATTCGTAGGCGTATTAGCTAATTTAGAAGATATGATTTTCCCACTTAGCTTGACTGAATGACTTTGAATTAATGTTGAATGAGCTAATTGTGGAGAAAGTGTTTGTCAGGTATTTTGAATTAGTCGAGGTCACGGTGATCATTGAGTATCAAAAATTGAATAAAATAAAATAACTTTTGATATTATTTAATTTTTCTTACAGGAAAAATACTGACTACAATGTTTCCATTTTTCCTCATCAGTTGAATGGAACACTTATTCCCGTAGTCTTTTAGAAAAGATTTTGATCATTGAACATAATAAAAAAGTGAGTCAATCAAGTTATCATTCATTTACAAAAATTTCTATTCCAAACATTGATTATAACGTTTTCGTACTTTCTAGATACCTGTAAACTTCCAATCGAAAAATATATAGGACACGCTATGCAACATATCATTAATTCTGATTCATTAGATGCAGTGGCGGA